TAATATCTTACTATTTTCTGAACCTTGTGCACATTATGTTAATTAGAAGAATAATTAAGACTTCACTATTATACCTGTCCAGCTCAGAGAACGAAACTCCATAAAAAATCATTCACCTAAACTATAAATCAACTATTTCCAAATCATTCAACACTATGCACCACTTGTTTTTTATTCGAATTCATAAGATACACTAATTGAACAAAGCTTTTTGTTGATTGTAGAATTAAACAAAAAAACAACGAAGTCCTGTGCAAAATTTTAAAACATGCAAACTTAGTTCCCATAAAAGGTAAAGTAAATGAAAGTACACTGTGTCTTTTAAAGTATCTCTGATAAAGTAAGATCAATTTTTAGCCATCATGTGATATAAATGGGTAACTTCCTGAATAAGAATGTTTAGGATTAGCGTTAGGATAGATGAATCCTTCCTTTATAATGGCATTGATGTTTACTTATGAAGTTAGTTTTTTTCACACTTCAAATGTTAAGAATCTACAAGTTGCCTTGGCTAATTCATTAATTATGTTAAAAGGTTATATACATTTTGTTCTATTTGTTTCCCATGTTTTTTTCTCTCAAAAACTAACTATACATACTATCTCTGTCATCGTCACTTGGTCAGTTTCTCAAGTTCGCTCATATTCTGTAGTCTTAAATATCTTAGCGTCTTAACAATTAATTATTGGTTGGTCTAATTTCTTATGTGAATGTCATTAACGCAGATGCTATTCGCCATTGCATTTTGAATTTTGTGCAAAAATCCATGAGTCGCTATCTTTAATCCAATTAATTCGTTAGTGTGTTTTTACTAAAAACTCAAATCTTTGTTTGTTACTGATAAGTCTGCTAAAGGAACGTACGATGCAATTTCCTAGCCTCTTCTAATGACCTGAGACTAAATATACACGACTACTTAAATATAAGAGAAAATGTGCAAAGGGCGAAAAAATGCTTTACTTCTAGGTTCGTTTATGCACGACAAAACGAAGCTATTTATAAAGTTACATACTACCTTTGGTTTCTAGGAATTTTTGGTAGCATACTAAATATGGTTGCACTTTAAGTAAATATTCAGTCAAAAAGTTGACACGACTCTTCACTTTCTGGTTGCTTTCGAAGAGGCTTCATTCAACACCGGTTGGATAGTGTTTTCGAGCGTTTTCTGAACGTTTGTTGACCTTTCCGATGAATAATACGGAACTCTCCCCCCTCCCAGCATTTACTAGTTCTTACCCTAGGAATGTTGTGATATTTTTACACTTTATTTTCAGTGCTAAGAGTAATTTAATTCAGTAATCAATTACTAACGTATTTTTACCAATTCTTATCGCTCTAGGGCTAATTATATTTACTATCCCGTTTAAAATGGTGTTTGAATCTATAACTCAATATACAGAAATCAAGTGTACACCACCTCTCCATTAACTCTAGGAATAGTGTGAAAACATGGTTTTATTTCTGTGATATTCTCTATCACTTCTTTATATTTCCCCCTTTTTAGAAGTAATCTGTTTGACCTTATTTCATTACCATATAAAATACCTTGACTAATAAATGTATTTGTGCGTGACCGGAATACTTGAAGCGTATATTATGCAGAAAGTACATCCCATTTAAAAAAAAATCGAATTCAACATTTTCCCTTCATATCCATCCAAAATAACTGCTTTTTTCGTGAAACTTGATTCTTCTTGTTTTTCCCATGTGAATATAATCAAAGAAAATGCGATGATATCGTCAACATAAACCGACACTTATTATATTAAATATGTAGGTTGGTTAGATTGTTGACTGACTGCAAACCCTGAATCTCGGTGTCGTGTTATTTGAGGTAATGACATTTGTTTGAGTGAAACTGATTCTCGTGATGTTAATCGTTGACATATCATCCAATGTTACAGTTATAAATATATTACGACAGAAGAAGTTTTTGTTCTGTTGATGACCTGCTGTAATAGAATTTAATTGTTTTTAAGGATTGATCACTAAGTATTAACCAGCATCATGTTTCTTTAATACTTGGAATCAGATTCAGTCAGTCATATGCGCTGTAAAACCTGGCATCGGTTTAAGTTACTACATCATATTAGCACGATGATATAAAATTATCATGACAGTTTCCAAGATGGTAGAATTTGTAATAGCGGTAGTAGTGGTGTCAGTGGTAGTAGAAAACTTTATGAACATGGAATATGATTAAGAAAGAATGATTTCTTATGATAAAAGTATGAGTTAATTCTAAAGGTCAAGACTTAAGAGTAAGGGAAGTTAGGTAGTCGATGAATCTTCCGTTGTGTAGATTTTTCTAAACCACATTACTCAAAATCTTCAATAACTAGTCGTGCTTATCCCAACAGTCAATGACTTTATAGACATATGCTACGTCGTTGCCTTGGTGGTCCCATTTTTTTTCCAGCTTACTCTTATACCAGCAGACATCATGCATCGAGTTAGACAGTGGTTAGGGATACATAATTCATGTCCCAAATTACATGTGATACCGGTAGTAGAACTTCCAACTCTCTAACTCTCATTTACAAATATGTACTACTGTATGTAGAACCACTGACTTCGGGTTCTTTTTTGGACAAATGTTTCTTTTATAAGCAGTGTTGAATGATGGCTAATAACAAAGGAATCCGGTATGCGCGTTTCACCCTATTCGGGAGTCATCATGGATGGATGTACTTGCACTTGATGTTCACATGGAGACTCAAAACCAATACCTTTCACTTTAAACACCTAACGCGTTATCAACTTAGCTATTGATTCTAAGTACCCACTAGCTTAAAATGTTTGTGATATAATGACAACATCAGGGTAATCCGTTTCACAGTTCAGATATGCCAAGAGTTACTGAATAATTTCTGACCTGTATACCAACAACTGGAAGATTTAAATAATCTTTAGCAACGAATTTTATATTATTATTTTTATCAGTATTATTATGCTATCTTCACCAGTCGTCATAAAATATTATTTAGACTATGATTTTGTAGTCTTTTGTGCATACCAGTATAGGGTTGTGGAAATCGTTGTGTTTTTTAATTGAGATCATGAACCAATCAATGTTAGACGACCATTGATAAACTGGAAGCCCTAAGATGTTACACTGCTTTAGTGTTTTTTATCGATTTGTTTTCTGTTTTCATGTTGTATATATTTGTAGCAATGTACTAATCAAAATTTATAGACAAATTCCATCTTTCTAGATCATTATTATTAGTATTATTATGGTTATAATGTCATATTGTTTTGTCTATATTTCTGTCTATGTAAGAGAGTGTTTATGTTATAGACTAGTGACTCTCCATTTTTCGACTTTTTTATGCGGAAGAAAATAAAACTATTAAATGGTACAACTTGGTTATATCACTTTTTGTAATAGTGTTTGTATTGTCTTGTTGTTGTTATTGTTAACCGAACTTTGATCAGTATTTGTTGGCATGTTTACACACTGTGCCGATTGCATCGATGTAGCCACATTGTCACAAATTTTTTTAGAATACATGAATTGTGGCTAGCGTTGGGTTCAGAAATGAGCGTTTCATCCTATTTGGATGTATCTGTATCTCAGTATTGGCCATTTAAAATGAGTCCGTGATATGAAATATCAACAGTAGGATTCGCCTAAATCTAGTTGTAATAAGCCTCAAAATGGAACGAAACGTATATTATGTATTCTTTTCTTAGCCATAATCCATCTATTCTATTCTATTTGGTTAGTTTGTTCGAGGTATTATGTTCTTTTTATTGAATGATTTAGTCAATGAGCTTTCACTGTTCTTCTTGATAACATCATCAGTACATATCTAGAAAAGGATTAAACGATTAGAATTCGTTTAACACAATCGACCAACAACTTGTTCTATGAATATGAAATTTAATTGACTGATTGTTATATCTTGTGGCCGAGTGGATGCCCAGTTAATGTGTGACGTGATAAGACCGCCAGCGAGTTATCGATTGGAACAGTGGCACACAGAAACCGTACAAGGAGTCTAGAGTACGTATCGGTCCTGCTTCCTGCCTAGCCCAGCCAGTTAAGTCCAGAACAGCCTATGCATTATGAATCCTTGTATTTCAAACATACTGAGTTTATATACCAAACAGACTGACCACATCGTACCAATAAAATAGGAAATAACATTTGTACAAGATTCAGCCAAACGTGCCTGTGAATGTAGGAGGCAGTAATTAATATACTAGGGATAAATCAAAAATGGTAAATCGTATAGTAATAGTCTATAGGTCAAAATAAAGCTTATAATAAGGGTAACATGGATATGAATAGTTTAGTTATTTAGCAATTATACGATTAAAAATATATGCATAATATTGGTCCATAAATAGATCCCAAAGTTACCATTCACTATTGTTATCGGGATATAACACCGATCATGGTTGAAACTACGTAAAGCAGAATTTCCTACCAACTACCTCCAATTACCTAACGTTTCTTTTTTTTAGAGTCATATGATTTGTTGTCCATTTAGTGTTTTTTTAGGGTTGACCTAAATCTAGTATTCTACACTTCAGCATATTCAGTGCGTATACAAATAAATAATGGTCTATCGGTTAAGCGCTTCGGCTTGAGACAGGTAGGTCCTGGGTTCGAATCTCGCGAGTGTGAGTTCGTGGATGCGCACTGCTGAGGAGTCCCATAATAGGACGAAACGGCCGTCCAGTGTTTCCAGGTTTTCCATGGTGGTCTAGCTTCAATTGACTCACGCTTTCAACTATGATAAATGAATTCTTTTCTATTTCTCATTACTCGTCAAAAATTTATTTCATACTAGACAACCCACTTCTTCAACTCTGTTCTTTTTCTATGTGAGATTGTTGACAATGAAAAGTGTTTATCTTCTCTCATTATAAAATTTTAGAGATATGTATGTCTCTAAATTGGTTATCGAAACAATGATTAAGCAAAAAAATCATTACTCAAGTATTTTCCTCATTTCTTTTCTTCTTTTTTTTCACACACTCTATAATAGATTTCTGATTGAAAATGGTGCAAGTCTCTCCATTTTAAGTGTAGATCTAGAATTACCAATCGATGTAGCACAAGATGAAGAAATGATTAATCTACTTACAGATTCAATGAAAAAGCAAAATATCGACGGTGATGCTATTAAACATTCAGAAGAACAAATGCTTTTACATGATGCACAGCATTGGTTAACTAGTGGTCAATATAAGTAAGTTTTTCTTCCTGCTCATTCTATTTATGATGACGTGATTTTTTGTTTGTATTAGTTTGAAAGTTTGTTGGAAAACTCTTTTCAATCACACTAATACTACCATTGTGGTATTGACTACTTATATGGACAAGTATAACTAGTGTGTAGCACCAATCAGAAGTAGAATACCTAGTAGCAAAAGGTTGGGAAGATCGAATAGATGAGAACGGGAACAGAGAATAATTGTTATGGCAATGAAGGAGCGATAAAGTTTGCGACCATTCATGAAGGATTTGCAAATGAAATATTGAACGTATGGCTTTCACATTTGACGAAAGAACTCCACCTGTTTTCGTTCATTACACTACTGCTACCACTGCAAAGTCTCACATTTCTAGTAACAATGGAATTAGATGTGGACATAATATAGGCTCATGTTGTGATCCGACTTCAGCTACACAAATTGATACAATCCAATAATGAATGCAAGAATATTAACGCAATACAATACCCTAAAACTGAATTTGTGCTGTCCTCAACAATTTGGGATAGTGATTTAAGCACTCCTGATTTTGACGGAAGAAATGCTACATAAAGGTTCGTAATGCTAATCATTGGGAAAATAACTGATCCAAGTCAACATTTACAAAGCTGGTCGGCGGCCTATGCTCCATTGGGAGTAACAGGCGTAAGTAAGTCAGTATGCAAGTCAACATTTACGGAAATAAGCTCATTTCCCAACTGTTCGTAAATTAATTAACCATTGAACTGATCCATATATAATAATGTAGACCTCGGAATTGAAGGTTTGTGAAATAATTCATAATCTATGGTCTTAATTCTGAAATGATATATGGCTCAAAATTGATGTTGGTGGCCTAGATCCATTCTGTTTGTGTATATATTCCATTAAATCTCTAGCTTAGTATCATTTCATTATTTTTTAAAATTTTCATTTTTTGTTTTTTAATATTACGCTTCTTATGATTATTATTACTTCACTGGTATTCATCATATTTCGACCCATTCGGTTTTTATCTCATCAATTTGCCATTGTTGTCTTAATACGTAGTATGATGTCTTGACCCAATCTCCATCTGTTCTAGGTCTTATGTTATCTGTCACTGATTAACTAGATATCAAATAAATATTGTTTATGCTCTTATACAACGAAGTATACTCATATTTTTTGTATGTTTAAAATTAATATTTTTATTCTTACTTTAAAGTAATTAACTGATTAACTTATACATCTTTTTAATGTTATAGACCAGTTATTGACCCTAGAACTGGTGCCACTCCCCTACATGTCGCAGCTTGTAAAGATTATACTAAAGCAATGGAAATTCTTTTACAAATTCCCGGTTTAGATATAAATGCTAAAGATTTCGATGGTTGGACTGCATTACATGCAGCAGCACATTGGAATCGTGAAGCATCTGCTCGAATGTTAGCTAACGCGGGTGCTAGTTTCGATGAACATACACGTGCCGTAAGTCCTTTTATGTGTGTGTGTGTTTCCTTTCCTATTGAACACTTACGTGTCAGTTCGTTCAATAAAGACATGAACTGTGGTTTATTAATCTTATTCTCATTCCCCTCATCACCTCTGTATTTGTGGTAACATTTTACTTGTTTGATCTGTGTTTTTATTGTTTAAAATATCCACATGAATTTGGAGAAATTAGACTTTCAGTTGCTTCATTTCTTCATGTTCCGCTAAGATCATGTGGACAGATGATTCAATTCAATAACAATCATACGAACACAGTGAATGATCTTTCGTTTAGCACAACACAGAACGCATATTTTTTTATTAACTTAGATAATCAATAATCATCCTCACATTGTATCATTGTTGTAATCTTTACAAATGTCACTGAAAAATCTTGATAAAATTGAAGAGAGCTTTTTTTTTCCAGTCTTATATGTAATTTCTAAAGTATATCTAATCCACTGAAGTCAGTCTTTCATTAGTGCTACGAACTAAGTTTTCGTCACTGCTCAAAACACAGTCCCGAACTTCCGCATTACTAAATTTGTGTTACCAACTGAATATGACAAGTCTTTCAGAGGCAACGATGATTAAATACGGATATTCGTCGATATCCTTATCTTGTCTGTGATAGGTTTCACAACCACTAATCAGAAATATCCTCACCAACATATATTAAACCTAATCTTTTACAGTCAAATTAAAATCACCTAGATGCAATAGATAAATAGCCTAGATTAGTATATTGACACTTTGACTTTCACTACACATAAATTAACATCATCTAACACATCACTCAAAGCAACTACATCCAGGTACACAAGTATTTCGATTATTTCTAACTGGTTCACACAACAAAATGTAATTGCATATTTTGTTGTTGTTAGTAGATTGTCAACTGTGTAATTCACATATAACAAAATAGAAATAAAATGTAAAATTCACACGATAATGAAATCCATAGTAACTTGAAATGAATGAACCACTAATTTCACTAATAAGAATTATGTATCTAATTAGAATGATTTCAATGAATTAATACCCTTTTTATTTCATTAATATATACGTCATAAATTTTTACTTTAGAAGTGTGTTTCTTTTTTTGGTTGTTTTTTTTTACGTTATACACAATTGATAAAGTTACTATGGGGTTAATTAAATTTGTCTTTCAGAGATAGTGTATTATTATTATTATTCTTATCCATTCAAGGGTACTAATAAATTTATGACGTATAGAGGATAGTAAATATTTCAATACTTATTAATACATCTCCATGTAGTCAGCATTTATGTATGATAATGATGACTGAATGACTTTTAATTATATAGAAAAATTAGTTACTACCTGCAATTATATTGATTAGTAATTAACAATTGACAGTGTTATGATGAATTGTTTTAAGTTGAATAACTTACTGTTGATTATTTATTTAAACACATAAATATTGGTACAAGGAAGCACCAGATATATATGCGCCACACAAACCTCATTCGATTTGTGTGAGGGCTGTGATACTGCCCAGGTGCCCAGACCGAAGCAGGTGTTTTTCTTAGGGGGCCACACCCGGAGCCTTTGACCCAAAGGTCTAATCCACAAAACAGTGGATCATCGTGAGGAGATACAGTCCCATGGTAGCCGGTGATCAACGGTTGATTCGTACGCCATTTGTTTCCTCAGGATACTGGAGCCCATGTGCACCACTGGTTTGGAATCACGGTTTTCCAACTCCCCTAGGTGAACTTTTCGTGTCCACCAACCCAGTTAAAGCGTCGGACATTCGCTTTTCGTCCTCTCAATTTCGTAAACAACACCCCCGTCACGAGAAGGCAATGAGTAGGACTTCCCTGGCAGAGGCTATATATTCGCGTGGCCATACGAGAGCATTTCGAGAGGGAGAGGTGACTCTCCCCACTTTCGGCCGTACCGGGGCATTTGGGGGCACTGTTGATAAATCCATATGTTTGAACATTTTTCCTATCCGGTTAGTAGTGTACAAAGTTGATTGTTATAAAGTGGTTATGGTTTATGGATTGATAAACAGAATAAAATCAATTTGAATAATGTTGAATATGTACTAGCTTCCTATGTTGTGGAAAGTTATGTACTTATACATATTTTTTGAGTAGCTTCAGAAAGAAATTGGATCAATGTTTATGGTATTGTACGTACTCTTGTTAAATCCCTAATTTCAAGCGATAACTTCCTGTAGTTAGTCACAAAGTTTTATCAATGTGAGCATCTGTTTGTAGAATGGACTTTTCTAACCTGTTGCGATGACTCTCAGAAAGTGCAACGAAGTCTCCAGAGGCTCTAGAGGAGCCGAAGAGATCTTATCCATTCAGAACCCGGTAGAACTTTCTAGAGTACCAACGTAGCATGCTATGATTGAACAATTGTATAACCTCCTACTTAGAGATCGACTGGATCGAAATAATGTCATAGCCTATAATAAAAACTATAAATACCTCTATTTTTCTGTACGTTTTCGACACTCAATAACCGCTTATCCTGCTTTTTGATTTGCGACTGTGAGTTTCTTCGTGTTCGAATGTCAATAACTGTTTACTGTGTTAGCCCCAATCGAGTAGAGGATATAACGTAACCCCTGTCTAGTTTATGTTTAATGGAATGGCTATAAATGCGAGTTTTCCTTTGAAGATATTTTATTACAATATAGTTGACAGTATAACTTTTTGTCATATTGCTTTCCGATTCACCCTTATCGTCTGCTTGAATCTTAATAAACAAAGGTTCCCAATGCCAATATGTAGCTTGAATAGTTTTATGACAGTTTACTACGAACATCGGGTCAAGCTAACAGTTACAATTTAGCTATAGTCTTATCAAGTAGTCTATACATGAGTAAATGCATTTTCTTATTTAACGTCATTTCAAATGATTTCACGAAGATGACTAGAGATTGTTTATTTGCTTACAGACTCTAATCCTTCATAGATAGCATAAGAAATATCGATTGTTAGTACTAGACTATCTCTGTAACTTTTTGTCATAAGGTAATAGACATACATAACAATGAATTATAAAGTTACTATTTTTATCAGTAAATGTTGCATACCACTAGAGCAGTGGTTCAGTTATGTTTAAACTGTTCGAATTGCAGCCACCAATTCTCAGGTTCGAACTATGCTCCGACTCGACAACTATGTAGTAGCTATAAGCCCAAACATTTATTGAGTGTAACTTGAAACCAAGTACACGAATCTATCTATACCTGGTAAATGAGTTTGATAGGAGCTTAGAAAAAGTCTCCGACTTTTAGTCCCAATATTTTAACACACACTGTCTGTTGAACTTGAAACTGTCGGTTTTAAAAAAGAAATTGTTGTTAGTAGTAGTTCCCTGTATGATATTTATATCATTGGAATAATTTCACACATTAATATGCCCATTCTATTTACGGTTGACTGTTAAAACTAATTCAGTTATTTTAATTAAATGTTTATTTATGTATTCCACTACCGATTGCTAAATAAACAAACTTGTTTTCGTTTACCTCTCTCTTCTCAGAGTCAATCTGTATTCGATGTAGCTGATAAAGAAATGATTGTATTGCTTAGACAACTTCGTGAAAGACAAAGAGCTGTGAGTAGTCTCTCAGTATATGTGTCTTCGTTCTTTTCTACTGCGTTTGATTCTCAATGTATGAACATTAACAACAGTGGGATACGTGTACATCCAGCTAAAAAAATCTCTAACTGGAATAAAACGCGCTTCCTGGATCCTACTGCTGGCCACATATTGAATATATAAAAAATTGTAACTGATAACATATTTAATGTCAGGCTATGGCAACAGAATCCAGAACACACGTCTCTTAAGACTACTCAGCTAGTTATCTCTTCTAACTGTGTCTCCAGTGTTGTTAATGTTCACATTGATATTTAGAGTCATTATCTTTCACTTCAAATGCTTAAAGTGTTATCCACTAAGCTACTGAATCCGCATGATCTTTAACCTACTTGTTCTCAACAGTTATATAAATATTAACAAAGACTTATAATTTCCCATTATTGATATTCACGACTCTATCTCTCCTATCCTATAATCAGCAATAAATGCAGGAGAAGTCAGCCAGTGTAGCAGTAGGCCTCAACATACACAAGGGAAAAAGCAAGATCCTAAAATATAACTCAGAGAGTACCAACCAAATCACACTTTATAGGGAAGCTGTGGAAAAGATTGAGACTTTCATATCACCTGGGCAGAATCATCGATAAATAAGGGGGATTAGCAAAGCAGGGGCGAATTTCCTACAATCGAAGTACATATGGAACTAAAAACAACTGTTACTCGAAACTAAAGTCATTATTTTCAATGCAAACATCAGGAGAGTTCATAACACGGAGCTGAAACGTGGAAAAATACTACAACCATCATCAAGAAGGTACAAGTATTTATAAACAGTTGTCTGCACAAAATACTTAACCTTCACTGGCCGGATACCATCAGCAACAGCCTTCTGTGGGAGAGGACAAACTAGCTTCCAGCTGAAGAGGAAATTACGAAAAGATGTTGGAAGTGCATAGGACATATACTACGGAAATCACCAAACTGCATCACGAGGCACGCGCTAACTTGGAATCCTGTAGGGAAATGGAAAAGAGGAATACCAAAGAACACACTACTTTGGGAATCGGAAGCAGACATGAAAAAAATGAATAGCAACTGGGAACAGCTGGAAAGGATTGTGTAGGACAGCGTTCGATGGTGAGTGCTGGTGGGCGGCCTATACTCCTCCACGAGAGCTAACAGGCATAAGTTAGTAAGTAAGATATTCATGACTACAGTCTATCAGTTCCTACTGTTATTACTATTGTTTATTGTTTTTCTTAAGTTATAAGTTAATATATTTAATATTTGTAGGAAAGATTATCCAATGCATCTAAACTACCAGAATCATCGAAAATAATGGAAGCAGTTAAACGAAGGTAAATCAATTATTTAAATTTATTTATCCTTTTTTTATCATTCAATTCATTCATTCTTGCTTTAATCTTATAAGGTGTTCTTGGTATCATATACTACTCTATATTTTGTTTGGTAAAAAAGTTCCTGTCATATTTTAACTCGACAGAAATGCATAGGAGTATTCAATTAAAGTTTTGTATGATTTACCATTGATACATAAATCTTCTTATTGAAGTTTAATTATTTTGTTTTACTCTATAAAATGTATGATCTAACTGTGCATATCATCTTAAGTATATCCTAAAATCCTTTGTACTACTACTATTACTACTACTAATATTTTTCAATATTACCCTAGTTCACTACTTGCATAACATTGAATATTTGGAGGTAACAACGTTAATTCATCCAATTTTAAAGGTTATTTATAGCTGATGTAATAAATGGTTTGAAATTTCTCTCTCGAGTATACTATGATAATGAGACTAGTCATATTATATCAGATCCAGGATTCATGACCGAGAATAGAGAACCAGATAAACACTAAATAACACTTTATTCAACACAATAACAAGTAATCAGTAGCTGAGTGGATAACGCGGTGGCGTTTGAAGCGAAAAGTACTGTGTTCGAGTCCCAGAGTGAACTTCAACTCTGAGATGCAGATACATCCAGCTGACGAGTCCCAAATAAGATGAAACGCGCTTCCTGGATTCCACTGCTAGCCACTATCCATCTTTGCTTATAACGAGTAATCAGTTTCGGTAAGTCCGTGATAGAAAGCAATGGGAGGGGAAAATCACATATCCTTTAGTCAGTAGGATAAGTGCCTGTTTTCCCTCGCTCAGTGACCAATCATCTTTTACTTCCACTACCACATGTCAATTTATAACTTTGGAGACGATGATGATTCTGAAGTTATTGAAAACATCGTTTGCCTACGTAGTTCGAGTCTTGGAGTGAATATTGTTAAGACTTATTCTCCTGTCAGTTATCACGTGATGAATCCTCTAATCAGAATACCGACTTCTATTACCCTGTCACTTCGCTAAACTAATGATACCTCAACCAGCACTAGCAGCCTTAAGTCAACTATGAGTTCTTATTGGTCCTCTGTGTGGTATCGTCTCACTTAACTCAGCCTGTTTAGTTCAGAACACAAATATTATCCTCACGTGCATGAATCGTATATTCCAGGTGTACATAGTTTATGTCAACACAGACTAGACCTTATCACACCATAAAATGGCAGATGATAATTATAAAAGATCAGGCCATTGTCTATAAGTACGAGAGACTAACTAGTAGATTGAAAGTAAATTAAAAATACTAGATCGTATAATAGTAGTCAATAGGTCAACTGAAAGTTCATGGTTAAAGAAATATGAATATACATAGTTTTCACAACTTTCTCAATAAAAAAATGTTATTTTATTTATTCAAACACATAAATATTGGTACAAGGAAGCACCAGATAAATATGCGTCGCACAAATCTCATTTGATTCGTGTGAAGGCTTTGATACTGCCCAGGTGCCCAGACCGAAGCAGGTGGTTTTCTTAGGGGGACACACCCGAAGCCTTTGACCGAAAGATCTGATCCACAAGGCAGTGGAGCATCGTAAGGAGATGCATTCTCATAGTAGCTGGTGACCAACGATTGATTCATAAGCCATTTGTTCTCTCAGGATCCTGGTGGCTGCATCGACCATATATTCAATATTCGTCAGGTTTTAGAGCACAGACATGTTTTTATTTTATTGTTTGTAGACAGTTAAAAAGGAATATTAAACGTGTTGTAGTGGGTTTTTGTTTTATGACATCGTACTAACTATTTTTTGCTTTATTTATTTGTACTATTTAATTTGTCTACTCATTCTCTGAAGAAGTGGCTTACAGTGAACTACGAAACGTCAGACAATTTTCTTTTTTCGTCTCATCCGTATATTACAAACATATTAATTTTATTATTATTATGAAAAATCCCTTTAATACTGAATTTCTTTGAAATCATCAAGTCGAACTTTAGTAAGGATATCCATTTTTTCTGATATGGTTTTTGAATTTTTCAATCATTGAACAATTAATTGTTCAGTGTTCTATTTTTAATATTCTCTTTGAATAAATCCGATTGTATGATTCTGTATCAGTTATTATTGTCATTTATACGAATAAGCCACTGTTGAGTACATTTTCCCGAAACCTAATAGCACTGATGGATTTGTCGGTTATCGTTCAGATTCACATCGATGTAACCGGTCAGGTAATTATAATTCAGAGACAAATGCAGTAGGTGAACATGATAAAGAAAATTATAACAGAAAGTCAAAGATTGGATGTAATAGTTCTGTCGATAAAGAGTGTTTACAAACCCAAGCCAAAATAATTTTGTTCACTCGGGGACAAGACCTAGTCTGTTCGTTGAGAAGATCGAATTGAAGAGAACAGGAATATAAAGACAAAGTAATTGTAATAGCAATAAGAATGAAGAGACGATAAATTTTGTAAGAGACAGATAATGGAGGATGTACAAATGAAGTATTTAATATATGGTATTAATCAGTAAATTGGTCTTTCCCCACTTGAGAATCTGTTCACTAAAATAAATATACTATATACGATTGTAGGGTTTTGAAAATTAACCCCGTTTCCAATGATTTTTTCTCTAAATAAATTGTTTCATAAAATTTAGAAACAATGATGCATTTTCTCATACTTTACACGTTGACAATCAACTAAATTAATAAATAATCTATAACTTGTGTATGTGTACTTGTCTGAAATCGGTTTCTGTTTATTATGCATAAATGATTGTTAATCACTAGGTGTTCTTATTGAAAAAGAATCACTCAGGTAAATGTCATCATAATTAGGTAATACTTATTGATTTTAATGAGGTTTATATGTACATACACTTAACAGTTTGAGTAATTAATATGATATGCCAAATATTTCTCAATCATTGTGAATGTTGTTCACCTAATTGATTGTATATATAATAGACTAAAGGTCTCAAGTTCGATTCCCGCGTGCGGCATCGTGGATGCGCACAGCTGAGGAGTTCCATGCCTGGACGAAACAATTATCCACTATATCTAGATTTTCAATATTGGTCTAACATCGATCGATTCATGATTTCATTGGAACTCAAAAGTCTCCGAAACCCTTTCCTAACAAATTAACAATTTTGATAAGATTTATTGAAAAAACAACAAGTAACTAATTATACAGCATTAATTATGTTATCCTATGATGACATGTATATGTGTTGAAGTAAGACAGTATTCTATAACTACGATCGGTATTTCGGAATAAAGTGTCACTTGAATTGGTATCGATGACTGTGGTACAGTTTCATTCACTGTCTCTACTCTTCATGATCTTAATTTCCAATATTCCTTCATATACAAACTTTTATTTTCTTTTTTTGAACAATAGTTATTCCTAATGTTCACTTATTTTTAATTTTCATTGGTAATATAGTTATTTTGATTCTTTTAGCATTCATGGTATTCATTTAATCTTATCTTACCAATTGTTGTTTTCATAAATTGAGTTAACGTATGCATGATCTACTTTGATTATAACTGATTGATATCAATGTATATCGATTGTCATTGTTACATATTACATTATTAGTTCATAACTAGAAAGTAGGGACATATTCAAAGAGATACATTTTTTCTGTTGTACTAGTGTATCATTTTAAGTTCTAATTTAAAAGGGTGTTAATTCAACTTTTCATCAGGAAAAATACTGTAAATTTTTGAGTGTAACAGTTTTCTTTTTCATGATCTTATTCTTCTTGCATTTTTTGTTTCTCATGGAACAAAAGTACATAGACTGACTTTTATTCACTTCTTCATTATTTCTTTTTTTTTTAATATTAGAAAGCACTTTCTAAGTATCAATGCCAAGGTTGAACTTAATACATTTTATATATATCTCGATGAGTAGAAAAAATTTATTTCTGACGTTAATTTAATTCGGTTTTTTATTTATTTATTTTAAAGAAGTGACTTATGTTAAGTCACGAAACGTCAAGTTTACAATTTTCTACTCATTGGGATATAACACTATGTATTTTTTTTCAGTCAGTCAGCTACAACGTAGGACCAGGCATATTTATGTATCGGTTCAAGTTGCCATACCTCGTTAGCACAAAAAGATCAACACCGGATTCATAGAAATAGTTAATTTAGTGGTGTTAGTATATAAAAGATAGGTTATATACAAGGTTATAGTATAGGAAAAAAGAAAGTTATGAAGCAATTTTAATCTTAAGGTTCAAAGGAAGACAAAGAGTGTATACACTTACGCCATTGTGATCGATTTTGAGCCATGTCACCTAGATTCTCCAACCATTAATTCCTAATGATATTATTATTCAGAAGAATAATGAAAGCTTAACACCTGAACCATCCAACTCAGTGACCACAACATACACATTCAACATCATCCTAAAATATAAATATTCATTATCATCTTAAGATCATAATACTAATAAGTGATAATAGAAGTTAGTGCAAAACTTACTTTGTTGTCATTGTTGTAGCGCAAACAATCTCTCTCTCTTTTGTAGTTCTTATATATATATTGATGGAGTTTTGTTTTCTGAGCTGGATAGTTATTTCGTGGAGCTTTCATCGTCCTTCTGAACGACATCATGAACAGAAACGTTGGGTAGAAGTTTGTGCTGATTATATCGTTCAGAAGGACGATGAAAGCTCCACGACTAAACCATCCAGCTCAGAGAACAAAACTCCATCAAAATCATGCATCTAAGCTACAAATCTTCTCCACCATCTCAAAAAGGCAACAACGTACATTTTACACATCCGATTATTTTTGTTCACTTTTCTACCCGTCTGCTGATATTAAAGATGTTTTAAGCAAATCTAGTAAAAGGTGACTTTGCAAATTTACAATACTGATTCTATAATGACAATAATGGTAGCGTCCTGATTATTATTACTATCAAGAATATTATTATTATGTGCCTAAGCTTTAGAACTTATGTATCTAGTTTTAGCTAAAAAAATTCGTTTATTCTACGTTATATTTTATAATTTTCTAGTTAGTGATTGTTTTGTTTATATATGCGGTAAGAACGTCAACTATAATAACGTGTATATAAATAACCATGTGGATTACCACTGGTCATTCATTTTCTGGTATTCATGTCGAAGTACATTTGTCAATTGAAGAAATACCCTGCAAATTTTTACACAAAAAAAGGCTATAATCACTAGTAGGATATTGATATTTTCCCCTTTACTCCTTATCATGATTTATAAACGTTTTTTGAGTAATAGTGAAACTTCATCAGTTGAGATGGCTGGGACACGTGTTACGTATGCCCAACCACCGACTACCACGTTGCGCAATGTTTCATGGTGTAGGAGCATGTTGGAAGAAAGCTATGAGCGGCTAGACCAAAATGTGGCACAAATCCATGAAGTCATTGACAAGTGGACTGAGCCATGTTGGTAGGTGTAGACTACCTGGTTGGGATCCGCGAGATGATAGCAATCGAGGGTTAGAGACCTTGAATGACATGGCTCAAAATCGTTTGCAATGGCGAAAATGCATTTACGCTTTGTGTTCTACCAAATTCTAATCTTCTGAATTCTTCTTGTCTCTATCTTTCTTCTCTTTCTAAATTTATTTCACTGGATTATACTCTTTCAATAACATCTTCAAATCCTAATCTTTTGGATTTCTGATTATACTCCTACTACTTCTATCACTATGTGATTTGAATCGACAACTGCATCTCTGTGCTAATGTGGTATGGCAACTCGAACTGATGTACGTACGTATGAAGTTCTACGTTGTGACTGACTGAAACGTTATTTGGTAAATCTGTTTAAGCTGTTATATACTGTATAGTGAATGGAGTTTAACAAAGCATTCATAGGATATCTCACAAGCATTACCTTCATATGTTTATTAATTTCGTATATATTCTAATATCAAAGTAGTTGATCGATGCTAGATTTATCATTTTACGGTTTAGACTGATTTATATAAATCGATGCGGATTAACTCGTTTAGGCTCTACGCAATCACTATGATAAATGATTGGAGACTTTTAGTGCCATAGCTTAGAATCTTTTATAATAGCGTAGATACATTCAGTCTTTAGCCTCCTCTATATCTTCAGCATTAATATCACTTTATTCATACCCTTCCATCCGATCTCTTTGAACTGTATTCACATTGTTGAATATTTTATATTTTCGTTGCCATTATCCATTATTTCGATATATTTACTATTCATTTTGTTCAATTGTTCTCATCTTACTAATATTTTATGACAATTTAGCCCAACTGTCATGTTCTACTGACTGCACTTTGATCATCTTCTGACTGATTTAACTTCACCTGATATTTTGTTTGATTTGTTTAATTAACATCATTCTACTGCTGCTAATCTCCTACAAGTTTGTTGTTTATTTACTCATCTTTCTCAATCTTCTTTAATATTTTTTTTTTGTTCTCTAATAAATTTTCCTTTAGTCATCCTGTTGATTTAGAGACTGATGAAAATGTGAACACAGATAATGATGATGACGATGATGATAATTCTCTTATTGAAATTGATCTATCCAATTGTGTAAATAAAAAGCCAGCTATTGAACAAGATATATACTTATCATTAAATGATACTCCATCATCATTGACAAATGGAAAATTAATAAAGAAAACTGTTAGCAATGAAGATATGGTATTGAATACTACTACTATTACTACCACTACTCCATCTACCTTATTATCTGCAAAAGAACGAACAGAGATATTGCAATCCGCCACTATGACTACTAATTTTAATCAATCAACTGACCAACAAACATTTATAACATCTTCTACCCAAGAGGAACGAACTTTACCATTGTCAGGTAGTTGAAATGTTACTTCATCTTTCTAGTGAATTTCGCATGTGATACTTCGTTTGCTATATATATTGGAGGAGACTAGAAACGATTGGAAATATTTGAAAAATACATTATATTTATTATTAGAATTAAGTAATCGTAAGGACATGTAGAACTGTAGAATTATTGATTACTTTGTGATATTTAGTTTTGTTTTTGACTAGGTTTGCCACTATCTCACAAAGTATCCCATCTCGTAGTTGAATATGATATTTATAAATGATTAATAGTTGAATGCCACACATTTATGTAATATACAGTTAGTCATCTGTAGTCGTTCTATCTTCTGAGAAAATGCATTCGTTTAGGGTTTCATCCATCTGACTCGGTGGACTGACCAAATACTTTGGCTAACTCAATCATCAATTGATAATCAGTGGTAAATGGGGTTTGTAATCTACCATATAAGTACTGGTAGACGAAAATTATGATATTCTGTTCAAGGTCATTGTTAAGCTGAGAAGTAAATATTTCAGGCCTCTACCCCTGTCAACTTATTCAAATCACGAACCGATCTCAGACAATTATTGAAAAATTGGAAGCACTGAATGGCCATCTTGTTCTTGTATGTAACTCCCTAACATTGTGCATTTGTAAAACTTTTTTCTCTCCACCTGATTACTAAATAACAGTTTTTATCATTTTTGGTGAGACTATAATTTATGGACTAACCACTGAGATTTAAGATAGTAAGTCTTGAATTTTGGCGTGAAGATCTTTCACTCATTTAGCTAGATAGCATTATAGCATTACAGCTGATGTCACTTCGTGATGAAAATAACAAATCTAATTCCTAACCCTAACGTCCAACTGTAAATCCTAATTCTTCATACTAATTTACTACCCTCATTTAAACCTGGTAAATGGATGGACATTTCCAAGGTCGTTTTTCTGCCACTCAGAGGTTGTCCGTAACTTATAGTCTCACCGTTTTTTTTCAGTAAATTTATCATCTTTACACAACAGCCTACGCTAACCTAGTCATAAATTGACAGTTCTACTCTATATATATGCAAGGACTGTTTCTAAAACGTCCATCCTCAAATACTGCGAGCTTGCACATTGTCTGAACTTCAAGATAAAGTAATACAAAGGTGAACTACTCCGACGTTTATCAGGAAGGAGTCTGAATCTAAAAACAACTGTCTATCACTTCATAATTTTCAAGGGTTCTTTAAGTAACATCATTTCTTGATGAAAGATTAATTTTAAATCATAGCAAATAATTTCACAAAATCATCTAACCTAATTCATATTCATATTTGGGAAAATTAACTATTGCTGAATATGTCATTTGAAATATCACATATATTTACCTGTTACTGTTTTTTTTTTGGAAAAACACTCTGGACCCCTATTAGACAGTGGAGATTTTCTATCAATTGATATTAATAAACCATTCGAAAAAACTGGGAAATCGATATCATCAGAGAAATCTCCTGTGATGGTCACTTCGACAACATCTATATCATCGGATGCGAATAATGACTATACATCTTTTATCAGTGGTAATAATAATAATCGAATGGAAAAAGAAGTGTCAGATAATATTATGAAAATGACCGTCCCTATTTCTTCATACTCATCATCAACAACAACATCCGTACAGCCAGGTAGTGAACTTCGTCATTCATCGCTGTCTCCTTTACCTATATCTACTAATAGTGTATCTGATCCTACTTCATCATCTACATTACATTTAAATCCCCAATTGATTGAATCAGAGAATATAACAGATAAAAAATATGAGAGTGATAATTTACGTGAAAGTATAACGAATAAACATAAAACCGGTATTGTAAGTATTATATCAGCTTCACAAAATAAACATCCTATTGATGAGAAATCACAAACTATTGTACATAATAATACTCCTAATAAAGAATTATCAACCTCCTCAACTGCGACAGCGGCAACAACAACGACTGCTACCTCTAATACTCCATTAGGAACAGGACGATCAATTACGAAAATAATCGCTGTCAAACCTAGGGTAAGAGCTAATATATGTAGAAAGTTATCTATTATGTTTTAGTATTATTTGTTAGATTATCTCTTTATTTTTGCTTCCAGTGATTTTCTCTACAAATAAGAATCATTATAATGTGTGAAATAATCAATTTATTAACGTAAGTGGATTCTTCTAGACAATCAACGTTTAGTTTATAGGCTGTTAACGTAAATATGTTTATTCGACTATGGAGAACTGATTGATTAATTAATTCATCCATTTACTAAGTATGGACTTGTGTGTTAGGCTTTAAACCCGTCTATATGAGAGAAATAATAAGGTTATCTTGTTACTTAAACCAGCGTAGTTGAAGAGGGGTTCGAACCTGTTGACTACTTACAATTACCTAACGTCTCAAAATAGTTGGTGGTATATATATATATATATATATATATATATATATATAATGCCGCAATATTTTTTTGATAATTTTGTTTACCTTTATTTTCTTCCTCTTTAAATCGTCTATATTTATTTCAGCGAAGTGATCCACAAAAAATGAACCTTGATGAAAAGGAAAGTGTTTTATCCGTGAATAATACACAAAGTAAATTATCCAGTCCTGCTCCTGAGATTACAACTAATCGACGGTAAGTTAACATTATTTAATATTTTTTTTGCAACGAAGAAATTTATCAAGGATGGTAATTAAGTTTCATTGCATGTTTCAGGTTATCATGGTTATATTCATGTCGTGTTATCTTCGAATTGTACGATACATAGTAATTATGAATAAACATTGTCAGGTATTTCAATAAAAAATACAACTAAACTATATATGCCTTCTTCTCAACATAAACAGTTTTTAAGTAGTTTCCAATAGTTCATTTATTATATCTTGGACCATGACCACTGGATGTTAGAGATTTGAATTCAACTGGCTGGAGGTAAACACTATTCCTACACAGGATTACATATATGTCTAGTTGATAAATAATGTCAATCAATACACAATACCTAGATCCAATATAATTTTCTACTGACTACCTCCAGTCACATGAAATCAGGTTTAAGGGAGAGGGATTTTCCCAGGATTCAACAAACACTTACTGATCATCGAATATAATATCTCATACTTGATGAATATTTCATAATTTTATTATTATTATTATTACTAATGTATTTATTAGAGTTCAAATTATTTCAAATATGTGTTCAGCAGAGGGATTTCTTTTCAACGTAGTCAATATATAGGGTTGTACAGTTTCATAATAAATATGTTGAAAAAATATCGCGTTGCTGAAATCCATGTTTTTTATGTCTAAATGAGGATTATAAGTCTATTGCGATAACTTTTGATGTTAACTGTTTGGAGGCAGTTCACTGGGAATACTTGAACCTAAGTCAAACATGGTGTTTTTGACTACATTTACCTACTTAGCTTATCAACATAGTCCTTATTTAGTGTCGATCAATATTGTAACAACTTCGTAAGAGAATGCATACTATAGTTTTATGTGAACTACACTGAAATACAGTAGTGAACAAATTAAGGTATTAGAAAACAATAGAAACATTGGTTTATTTTTGAGTTCCTATACTGGGATGAGGTAGTTGTACTATAGTTTTAAGAGTTCATTCCTTTTCTCTCATTCTTGAAAAGCTCTCATACGACCGTGTTTTGATAATCCTTGCTAGGAAATTTCTTCTCATTGCTTTAAAGCGACGAAGCTGTTGTTTGCAAAAGTGAAAGGATAAGAAGTAAACAGAATTTTTGGCTACATGGACCCGCTTTGGAGAGTCCGAGAACTTTAAATTTCAAACTTATGATGTATATGGCTTCTAGGATACTGAGTGAATGAATGGTAGATGAACTCATTTTCGTCCTTTGCTACCACAGTAAGGTGACTCTTGAAGTTGCTTCGCTATGTTAAAAATTAGAGCTCTATTTCAAAGGCTTGCACTATGACTTTCTAGGAAAAGCAAGTTCTTTGGTTTATGTGTTCAGGTTCGTATCCTAGCTCTTAAACAAATATTTTTGTTAGTTGAATACTATTTTTATAGCCTAATTATACCAGGTTTCATCTGAAATAAATGAATCAATAAAAATTCTTTTTCACAATGCTTCAGAGATAAAATAAACCTTTTTCTTGTTATTTTAGTACAATGTTAGTAGTAAATCAATAAACTACCGCTTATTTTGCTGTGAATCAATAACTTGTCACTTGTATGTTAATTTACATTTTCCGAATTGTTTTTGTCGTTAGAATATCTGTTGTAATGGCGCCAACAAAATCCGGTGAAACAGAGACACAACGTAGTGTCAAAGCTCGTTATGTCCGATCTACTCGACGATCCACTCAAGGTGTTTCATCAGAAGATGTAGAACAAGCTAAAAAGTTAGCTGATATAAATAACAACGGTAGTGCTATTGTTTCTGATAATTCCCAGCCAATGAATTCTATTCACACTGTCGATACATCGTCGTCATCAGATAGAACAACATCAACTGATACATCAGAAGTTCCAAATAATAAATCTATTAAGATGAGTCATACTTCTTCAGCTTCTAATAGAATATATTCAGACAATCCTACAAATCTTTTTCGTCGACTCACCGACACTGAATTATTGAAATCTCGATCTAATTCTGAAACTGTAGCAGGTAGTGGCGATACGTGTATTGGCAGGTCATCTGCACGTACTGATTATTCAACTAATGAACGAGAAACTAATGACACTCGATCTTCAAGTCAACATCCTGTAAGTTTTTGTGATAATGAAAATTGCTTCATCCTGTCTCCTTATTGTTAACCGAACTGTGCGTATCAAGTTACTTTACTATGTAATCAACCATTCCAAGTTAACTCTTATCATGCTGTACTGCCCGTTTGATTCTTTATTTTTCAGCACCCAGTTAGGAAATATTCAATCCATGTTTTTAGGATAATCAAACAATATTAAATGAACTCTTTCTCATATCCTTAATGTTTTGATTTTGAAATGTTCACGGCTTAAGATTTTCCGAAATCAATTAACTAGTGACTTCTAGCTTATTGTGTACACAACTTAGTCGTTAACAAATTAAAAAAGTGTGTTTTTCTGTTAATTGTCAACATTATGTTTTCTCCGTTGAATGACTAAATAAATAATCTTTTACAGAATCCATGCAGTCAGTCATAAACAATGTAAAACTTTTAACAAATATGTATGTCATTTCAGGTTCTTATACCGAATCAAGATAGCGAAGTAAAGTTATCAAGATATTTACTAGAGTAGTGGAAGTATCAGTGATAGTAGTGAATATTAGACACCTTCTCGTGACAGGTCGTTGTTCACGAAATGGAAAGGACGAAAAGCGAATATCCGACGCTTTAACCGGGTTGGTGAATGCGGAGAGTCCATCTAGGGGGGTTGGAAAACTCTGGCTCCAAATCACTGGTGCACATGAGCCTATGAACCTATTGTTGGTCACGGGCAACCATGATACTGCATCTCCTTACATTGCTCCATTGCCTTGTGGATCAGACCTTCAGATCAACAGCTCGGGGTGCAGCCCCCTAAGAAAACCACCTGCTTCAGTTTGGGCACCCCGAAAGTATTTCATTCCTCACACGAATCGAATGATTTATGTTACACATGTCCATTCCGTGCCTCCTTGTACCAATACTTATGTGTTTAAATAAATGAAATAAAAGTAGCTGAAATAAGTAACTATACAATTTCTCAATGATTATACATAGTACCTAGGTCGTTAAAATTTAACGTTTTAGTAATATTTGGTGCTTCATTTTACTAACGTTTATATGTTTAAATAAATAATAAATAAGCTTTCTTCCTAAACTTCCTCGTTTGGTCTCCTCTATGTGCATCCATCAGTTCATCTGCTCTTGTGGAGCAAGGTACACATGCCGCAGCCACCGCTTGCTTTCGAATCGGGTGCGAGAATATTGCCGAATGTAGTTCTACTACGGTGAGAGGAAAGCAGTTAGAATTTTCACTCCTGAACATTTAATCGATTCCAACCACTTTACAAATTCATAGGTTGACTTTAATGTTGTTTATACAAATCGTTCAAATCTACCTAAATTTCTTCGTACTCAACTCCTTAAAACAGCAGAAGCTCTTGCCATTCATGAAATGTAGCCTAAATTGTGTGTACAAAATAACTACTTCTTTTCTTTACCATTACCTTACCTTTAAACTTTATTATTATTATTAATATTATCATAATGAGGGTTTAGCAATTTAATAGTTGGATTCATGAGTCGATTTAAGCTAGACCACCATGGGAAACCTGCAAACACTGGACGGCCGTTCTGTTCTCATACGGGACTCTTCGGCACTGCTCATCCACGACCCCGTATGCGGTGTTCCAACCCAGGACTTTCGGTCTCGTGCGCAAACGCTTAACCTCTAGACCACTGACTCGGCATCCAACGGTGTTATTGTCTAAATCCAACCAATTTACGATTTCGCGCTACCGCCCACTATTGTCTTCAGTTATTCACATGGGGATTTGTTTTACTTTTTATTTATTCTGTTGATTTTTGAATAAAAATGTAGGGGGGGGGGAGTGATTCAGTCAGAAAGGAAATACAGTTTTAGGGTTCTTACTTAAAATGTTACCCACCAAAGCACATGAAAGTTGGTCGGGCAATTTCATGGATTGGTTGAAGCTGAACAATATTCGTGGATGGGCACTCCTGAAGAGTCCCGTATGAGAACAGGACAGCCGTCCAGTGTTTGCAGGTTTCTCATGGTGGTCTAGCTTAAATTGATTCATGAATTCAAGTATTAATATTATTATTATATTTCGTATTTGAAAATATCTTCCTCCAGTCATTGTTTTGATCTTCATAATTTTATTAATAATCATTTCAGATATCACTTCATTTTATTCAATCCTTCTATTACCTTTGATTATTGTAACGAAAACATTTTAATTATCTTACTTCACTAACATTATAATCCGTTATTAACTTAATAAGTTTACGTGGCTTTCTATTTGCATGCAACTAATCTTTTGTTGTTATTATTCATAATACATAATCTAAGATCATAATCCTTCCATTGCATTATCATATTTATCCCTTGTTCATGTGTCCTCACGGAACTTAAAAATTTTCATATATATATATGTAGTTTGTTACTAAGTTCATTGGAAACAAATTCTTTCATCAGACTTCATGTTTTTGTTCAATCTTAGTTATCACAAAATTACATATCATACTATAAATTACTATCGATTATATTTATTTATTTATTTAAACATATAAATATTGGTACAAAGGGGCACCGAATACATATGCGCCGCACAAATCTCATTTGATTTGTGTGAGGGATGGGATACTGAAGCATTAGTTTTCTTAGGGGGCCACACCCGGAGCCTTAGACCTAAAGGTCTAGTCCACAAGGCAGTGGAGCATCGTAAGGAGATGCAGCCCCATGGTAGCCGGTGACCAACGATTGATTCATACTCCATTTGTTTTCTTAGGATCGTGTAACTCATGTGCATCAGTGATTTGTAGTCAGGGTTTTCCAACTTCCCTAGATGGACTCTCCGTGTCCAACAACCTGGTTAAAGCGCTGGACATTCTCTTTTTGTCCTCTCAATTTCGTAAACAACACTTGTGGTGTGAGAATGCAGTGAGTAGGACTTCCCTGACAGAGACTATATACTCGTGGCCATGTGAGAGCATTTCGAGAGGAAGAGCGGACTCTCCCTACTCTCAGCCTTACCAGGGCATTCGGGGGTCTCGATTATATTGAGTTGACCTCAATATATTTAGGTGGCAAACTTCTTTTTCTCATATCCACTAGTTACTAGTAATTAAACAACAGATATCTCTTGAATTTTAATAATTTTTTTTTATCTATATCTTGTCTGCGTATCCATGCCACATTCATTTTTAATGCTCTACCATTTTTCATGATTTCCCTTTTTTGGTTTACTGTTACTATTTTGAATAAAATGCCACCTTGTTTAGTGTTCTCATCTCTTATAATCTATCAGAACTAATGAACGTGACCTTCAATAAAATGTATCCAAGAAGAAATGTTAAACTGATAATTAGTATTCATTAAAGAGTACACCAAGCAACTAGGTTTGATAGAAAATTCACGTAGGTCCAGTGAGAACCTATCACCATGTCAAGTATGGGGTAGTCACTAACTGAAGACCATGAAAGTTGGTCGCTCAATATCGTGAACTGATTGAAGTTAGATATTAACATATTCGGATGCAAGTTCAGTGGTCTGGAGGTTAAGTGTACTCAAGCGAGTCTGAATGCTCTAGGTTCGATTCCACTTTTGGTCAGAGATCGTTGATCCCCACTACTGAAAAGTCCCTTGCCAAGACAAAATGGCTATCCATTGCTTCCATATTTTCACTGATAGCCTAACTTCGGTTCAAAAATTCAACAGAATACAATAATCTCCACAATCATATATATACAAAATATTATTTTTTATAGTCACTTTTAATATTTTCTATCAAAACTATTGTTCCAATTTTCACTTTATAACCTTGATTTTGTTAGGTTGTTGTATACACTTATCATACTACAATAGTACTGTACTGCCTGTATTGTTTCCCAATAAAGAACGTATATATATATATATATGTATATATACATATACTTTTGTGTGACCTGCTTCTGTACTATGATGCAAATTATTTTATTGATCAGTTTATAGTTGTATCCCTTTAATTCACAATTACTTTGATTATGCTGGTAAAAGCAATAAGATAGAGATATGGACACAGATTAGATTTTGTGTTGTGTGTAGTTTCTAGACGATGATATATATCTATATATTGGATAGAAATGAACTTTGTTATATTTAGTGGATGTGTGTTTTTTTTTCTTTAAGAAAACAATACAATATCAGTATCTTCGATTGCCCCGTTTATTTTGTAAATTATATCATACTGTGCAGTAGTTATAATAATAATAATAGTGTAAGGTATGTCTGGGTATTATATATCAAAGTGTGCACATGTATGCAGACTATTGATATGCTTTATTAAGAAAGAAAAATAACACTTGTAATGATCGAAATATGTAGTTCATGCGTATAATATCTAATATATATGGTTACTAAAGCTTCATATTAGAATAAATAACCGAATGTTTAGTTGCGATACCACGTGTTTATTTTTAGATATCAAAACACAATTATTCAATGGCATTCAGTGGTATTTCTTTTTTATTTTTATTTTCTACAAAGCAACATAAACCAAATTGAATAGGAAGTAATCTCCGTTTTGTAAAAAAAAAAAACGATTTTTGGGGTTATTTTAATATTTAATTGTTGGATTCAAGTTTACTTTCTTTTCTAATTTACGTAATCCATCGGAGTCACTAATTTATCTTACATTGTATTGTCCGTTCATGAAAAGGAGGTACTTTCTCTGGGTTTCAATTTTTTTGTCTCTATAACATATATTTCTGAATTGACAATCAACGCTCAATTCGAAAACCTTTATGATCAATTGAGTACTTTATCCCCCTTATCCTCAGAGAATCAAGGTTTGTTTAAAGGTAAATTAGTGGATATAGCATATCAGTTTCACTCCTTTGGACCGAAGCAGAGAAACATACTAACTTCTCAAAACTTCAAATCCTTTAAAGAATTGCGAAACAATGTCGATATTATTATACTTAAACCCAATATAAAGGATCTGGTGTTGTGATTATGAAGAAGTTCGATTATATAAATAAAATGGAATCGATTCTCAGTGATAAGAGTAAATTCATGGCTGATGTTGACTCCGATGGATTACGTAAATTAGAAAAGAAAGTAAACTCGAATCTAACAAAATTGTTAAACATGCATGTTATTACACCGAACCTATGTGTTCGGTGTATCCTCATTTATATGGATTGCCGAAAACTTAATTTTCACAGTTGAAATCATGAGTCAATTGAAGCTAGACCACCATCGAAAACCTGGAAGCACTGGACGGCCGTTTCGTCCTATTATGGGCCGTCCAGTGCTTCCAGGTTTTCGATGGTGGTCTAGCTTCAGTTGACTCATGATTTCAACTGTGAAAATACTAAATTATCCACAAAACCCCCTCTGATCGAAAACTTAATTGTTACTGTGTTCTCGTCAAATTTTTTGTTTGTTTGCTATTATCCACCTTGCAGATTCGATCGTAGTACATGTACATACATTAAAGGTATTGGCAATTAAATGAATTGACGGTATTTAATAGAACAAATATGCTGCTTACAACAGAATAAATAATCTATTCTGTTTCTTATTAATGGTCATGTCTCATAATAATCTAAACGATATTTTACATACATCTTGGTAGGATACAAAAAGAATCTTTAGTATCGGTGTTGAATAACAATTTTGGTGTACTGATTATAGCATAATGAATTGGTTTTCATAGTACTACGTGAACGTTCTTTAGTTGAGGTGTGTCAAAATTACCACTCAGAGAGAGAGAGAGAGATCTATATTGTGTATATGAAGAGTAGGTTAGTGAACTTTTGATGTCACACAAGTTTAAACATTGCCTAATATCACGATCAATTATTGTGCTGAACCGCATCATATGGTAGATGCTTTCAGGTGCTTATGATCAATCCTCATATGTTGGAGATTTTAACTGGCACTGATTAAAATCATTGTTGATGTTCTTCAATTGTGATTTTTGTTTGAATCCTGTGCCTCAATATTAGTCCATCATTAGCGAACTATATATTCTGTGTTCAATATATATATATATATATATATATATATATATATATTCTTTTCCTAATATTAATCCGATTATTTTGAATTCTGTAGATTTTTGCATATAATAGGTAATGTACTCTCAAGTGAGTAAAGATTGTAGGTTGTATTCTGTATATGGTCGTTGCTATTCACTTCAACCGCAAACTAGGATGCAACAATTATCCGATCACTCTCTCCAATAATATACCATCTAATGCATGTATGCATCGAGCTAAATTATCATACTACATCACAATAATGAGGTAATAATAGTATAATATATGTAATAGTGGAAAACATGGGATATAAAAAGTGTTATAGTGTATGCTATTTATGTTTGTCGGCATAAATAGTATGTAACACCAATCGTAATTGGAAAACCTGGGCAAAGAAGACTAAGAAGATAGAGTTGAAGAAAAAAAAATAAATAGAAAGGAATTGTGAATTGGAAAGTATCATACAGAGTGTAAAGGATAATTGGTAGAAGATTTGCAAATGAAGTATTTAATATATTATTCTCATATTCTAATTATGTATTAAACAATAAATTGATCATCTCCACCAAGTCTTCATTCATTATAGTATAGTTTGTGCAGAACATGTAAATTTGCAAAATCAAAGGTATAAAATAGTAATTTTAAAACCCGAAATATAAAAGAAAATAAATGGTTGAATTTACTTGTCTTAACGGAACTTATTCATAATCTCTTACTATTGATCATGATCATTATATTATTTTCAACCGTTGGTAGTTTAAACCTACCAATTCATGTAATAATATCTTCATTCAAATTTCAATTCCACCCATTAGCTCTTTTTTCCAACTTATTCCTACACCAAGGAATATCACTTATCGAAATAGTTGTCTAGTATTTTTTCTTTCTCTCTTTCATTGATTATAGATTTAAGGTTAATCTCTGATTAAATAAGAAGCTAATCTGTAAATGTACAAAAATTTTTTTTGTTGGTTTCATCGTAAATAATTTTTTATATCTAATGAGTAGAAAAGTTTCCCCCCCCCAAAAAAAACAACAACAGAAAAGTGTTTCCTTCACTAATGTAACCTTTTAGCAATGCAAGACAACTTGATTTCGTTTTACTGATAAATGAATGGCTATCATATATGATTACATTATTATACCTAAATTCCTTATCAGTGATTTTCTATTCATTTGTTTTTTATTATTTTGAAGGCTTCAACTGGTCGTCATGTTAACTTTTCAGGTGAAACAAACATGAATTCTTCTACGTATGATGGTAATTCACGACGGTCATCTTATATTTCAAAAGTACGGTCTTCAGAGCATAGTAAGTTTATCATATTTATGAGAATAATCTCGTAACTTGAAATATTTATTTATTTATTTAAACAGATGAATATTGGTACAAGGAAGCACCAGATATATATGCACCATACAAATCTCATCCGATTTGCTTGAGGGCTGTGATACTGCCTAGGTACCCAGACTGAAACAGGTGGTTTTCTTAGGGGGCCACACCCGGAGCCTTCGACCTAATGGTCTGATCCACAAGGCAGTGGAGCATCTTGAGGAGATGCAGTCTCATGGTAGCCAATAATCAACGATTGATTTATACGCCATATATTCCTTCAGGATACTGGAGCCCATGTGCACCATTGGTTTGGAATCAGGGTTTCCTAACTCCCCTAGGTGGACTTTTAGTGTCCACCGGCCTGGTTAACGCGCTAGACATTCTCTTTTCGTTCTCTCAATTTCGTAAACAACACCTGTGGTGTGAGAAGGCAGTGAGTAGGACTTCCCTATCAGAAGCTATGTACGCGTGGCCATATGAGAGCATTTCACGAGGGAGAACGGAAATATTTAAATTCGTAATATGTTATATACATTTTGAAAGTGAAAAGCTCATTTAAGCAGTGTCTAAAACGAACTATAATAACGTTCCTTAAAGTTGGTTGGTGATTTATAATTAAATCCAGGAAATACATTTCTTCGCATTTGTGGCTCGTCGGCTAGATATATATTTGCATATGTTGTTAGTGTTCACACTGAGACTCTAACCTAATCCCTTTTTCGCTGCAAACGCCGAACGTGTTATCCACTGAGCAAATGAATTTAGTGAGAGTCCCAGCACTGAGATGTGGCTTTTTCCATTTAATGAGTCCCTAAATAAAATGACATGGGCGTCCTGTATTCCACTACTAGCCACTATCGATTTTTAATAAAAGGTTATAACTAATTGGCAATGCCAAATTAATCTGCTTACGATCAAAAATTTGCCAATAGAGTTTGATTGCTTACAGTCCTTAATATCAACTACAAGAAACTACAAATACAAATAAAACTGTCTAAGTTATATATATTTATAGTTCATAGTCTAAATCACGAACTGATCTCAGCTGTTTTGTTCTAGTGTGGGATTCCTCAGCAGTGCGGACTCACTATCCCGAATCCTAAATTTCAGCTGTGAATATCCTACAATTTGCACTAATTCTTTTTATACTAATAAATATATTTAACCTGCTCAGGGAAATTAGTGCGTTGTACACCTGCAGCTTAAAATTCAACAGATTTGTTAAAATATTTTGCTATATAGGTAACTTAACAATGGATACCAACAGAACCTATACTCTGAAAAATGGTTTAGATGAGGTAGTAATAATAATGATAGTAATCCATTGATTACAAGTTACCTAGTTGGGTAAACAAATATACTACTCATATAAGCTGGGTTTTTTGTACCCACCAATGTCTTATCCTTACTGATAGCCAGTACGTTTTGCTTTTACATACATGTAATTTCATCAGTTTGTAGAATTAATCAAGTCAAAATAAGTTAATGACTTTAAGTCCATCCATATCAGGGGTAACACAGTTATCTACCAGTAATATAATATGATTCTACAATATGGTAAACTGATTGAATTTATAAATACAAATCAATTGATTTCAACTTGAAGTTAGACATTAACAATGTTGGATGCCGGCTCAGTGGTCTATCGGTTAGGTGCTCTGGCACGAGACTAGTAGGTCCTGGGTTCGAATCTCGCGAGTGCAGGATCGTGTATGCGCACTGCTGAGGAGTCCCATAATAAAACGAAACAGCCTTCCAGGTTTTCCATGGTGGTCTAGCTTTAATTGACTCACGCTTTCAACTAAAAAAAAGCTGTTTGTTATTAGTAATCAAACAATCAATTTCGATAGTAATTGTTTTATTAAACTAATCTTAATGTATATATCAGCTGAAGCATTAGACAGTTGTTTCATCATTGGACAAATATAATGTACACTGTATGACTTATACAGAGTTGAACGTGAATAATTAATCATTGAAATCTGAATTTAGTATTATAATAACTAGGCTGATAAACCGCCTACTATTAATTGTCAGCATGATTCATAGATTGCATACTTACATGAATATATTCATGGAATAGTTAAGGTAAAGTGGAGAAAAGTTCGAAATCAGGACCATTTACTCTTTGATTATGAGTTCCCTATGATTTCACTTGAATACATATCAGCGCCCGTACAATTGAACAGTTTAATGATATCATAAATTATTTATTGGATACGGGACTCGAACTAGATCTATTTCTATCTATTTAGAACAAGGTGATACCATTTGTTTGTTATTAGTATTATTACTCTGCACGTTGGTTTTTAAAAATGCATTTCACAGTTTAATTTCCGCAAAGTTTCCAACCTTTAATAAGTGTATTGTTTCCAGAATTTCCAGTCATTTTTCGTTTATTTAATGGGTAGAGGCTTCATGTTAGAGCACAATCTTCATTTCAAACCTTTACTTTCTATGTAGGGATGTAACACCTGGATACATATCTTTCCACTTTTTCTTTAGTTTTTCTCACTATTTTATTGTTACTACATTAAATTCGATTTCTGTGTTACAGTGGTATGAAGACTTGGGCTATAGCGTATGGACATGTAAGACTACGTTGATTATGATAGACTTAAGTAAATTAATGGAGTGTACTTTTTTCATATTTTAGATCAATAGGTTTTACGTTTTGTTTCCTGATATAGAACAACGACACTGAGATACAGTATCTACATACCCGTGACAAGTTCTAGATATCGCGAAAAAAAAAGACATACGTCGTCTGTCATTTACTCTATTTTTGATCACCATATTCACAATATTGCAGTCGAGAGTTGTATCACTGTTTGGTGATAGATTATTAATAATTGTATTAGTAGACCTTAGATATTATGTATATGCACACAACCACAATAATTATGTATCTACAGAGCGAACTTTAGAACATACTGTTACTACTAATATTACCATCTATTCTACTTCTCTCTCTCTCGCTATATATATATATATGGCAAATAAACTTTTAGAGTGCGTATTTATCAGGTCAATTAGGCTTGTTATCGAGAAAATGATCTTTTTGACGTGTTGTTCTCTTTAGTAGTATTCAGGCTCCTCTTCTTTTGTTAAATATTTATTCTCAACTATGACTGAATGCCTTCATCAAATTGAATCATGGTGATGATGATAATAATAATGATAATAAATTGCATTGTTCCTTTCTTTTCTTTGTCGATTTTATTTTTTTATTATTATGAAGATGATTTCAAAAGTGATATTCACCATTTTATAACTACTAATTAGTAGTATTTTATTGTTTATTAATATTTATTAATTATATCGAGTTTATAACTATTCGTGTTATATTTTATATAGTTGAAATGATGAGTCAATTGAAGCTAGATCACCATGAAAATCCTGGAAACACTGGACGGCCGTTTCGTCCTATTGTGGGACTCCTCAGCATGAGGTATTTTCATGGAGTTCTAGTGAGAAGCAGTAACCAGTGAAATTCAACCAGGTCTGTTGGAAGATATCAACTCAATGAAGACATTGATGAATGGTTGCTCAACCTCATGGATTGGTTGAAGTTAAACATTAATATCGTTTGAATACCGGCTCAGTGATCTAGTGGTTAAGCACTCGCGCACAAGACTAATAGGTCCTGGGTTCGAATCTCGCGATTCGGGATCGTGAATGCGCCTCGCTGAGGAGTCCCACAATTAGACGAAACAGCTTTCCAGTGCTTCCAGGTTTTCCATGGTGTCTAGCTTCAATTGACTCATGATTTCAACCACATAAAATTACTAAAATCTCCACAAAACCTTTTTCTGATATTCATGTTATACTTTATTCATTCATTCATTCACTTACTGATTCCATTTTAGTTGTTTGTTATTTTTTGATTATCATATACCGTGTATACATGTTTCATATCTAATGAATTTTTCTAAGAATGAAGTTTTTATTATTTGCTTTCAGTTTTGAAACTGTTTGCTTCTAAATAATAATATATCCATTATAATTTCAATACACAATAGTCATATGCGAATTACTTGTGAATTAATTTTCATTCATCATTGGTTAGTATATACATGTTTTTACTTACTAAATTGTTATGAATAACAATCATAAATAATGGATTATATTAGTTAAATCAATCCACTTTTAGTCACTAATAAGTTTCAAGTTCGAATCCATCACCGTTACTTGTTTTTTGTTTTTTTTTGAAACTGAATACGATCATATCTGTAAATCAATATTTAGTTGTTAAACATTGATAAACAATCGGAAAAAATAAAGCTATTCCACCGTGAATTAATACATATATATTGTTTATACATTTAATCTTTTATCTGTGATATTTTAATATTGCCTTAATCGTAAAACTTCATTCAACTTATTAACTGTTGATATATGCCATACCATTCACATATTACAGTTAATTAATTATATACTTGTTATTTGAACTGTTGTCCGACGTTCTACGTTTTGTATAGCTGACTGAGTGACTTACTGACCCTTTGATCAACTTTTGCTGCAAATAACTTGGTTATGCATATATTGTAATTCCTTATTTATCATTAGTTATGCTCTTGTCATAATATGCATTATCATGGGTGTTTTTCGGCTATAGAACATATGATAATAAGTGAATCGGGTTACTGTTTTTTGTTTTGAATGGGCATTTGATTAAGAAGGATCTACATGAAGCAATTGGCGTTAAAATATCCAACCATTGTTAATTATCATTGATGTTATTGGTTAAGCAAAGATCATTAGAATTATTTGTTGGGACGGCTTCGAGAACCACGGCGAAGCCTTCAAAGTTTCTAAAGGAGCTGAAGAGATTCCATTCAATTAGAGCCTGATAGAACTTTCCGCAATATCAACGTGATATGCTGCGATCGGACAATAGAATAACCTGCCTCCTTGTGGATTAGCTGAATTAAAAAGATGTTATAGCCAAGACCAATAACTATAAATACCCACGTTTTTCAGTACATTTTGGATTCTTACCCAATAATCACTTATCCTATTTCTTCCATCTGCTGATCTGCGAGTGTGGGGGTTCTACACGTTTGAGTACCATTAGTTGTACATCGTATTCTGCTGTAATCAAGTAAAGGACGTAACATTATTGGCATAAATTGAATCCACCGCTAATCTACTTAACAAATAATCTGGTAATCTCATTAAGTTGACAAATAGGGTTCGATTGTACAACATCAGTAAATATAAGTTACATACAAAATAAATAAAACATCTATAGTGAAAATAATCTTTTCTTGTTTGTTTTTTCTCATGTAAAAAGGTCCTACGTCAGAGAATAAAACTGACTATACAACATCAGTAGGAGTTCGTGAACGTCGTCATATTCGTGAACGTAATCCACCTGAACGAGTATTATCCAGTAAATCATTTTCTACTGTATCAGATATTTTCGAACGTCGTATGTCAGATCACAATTCATCGTATACTACTAATAATTCTGGACGATCAGAATATTCACCATCTTCTTATACAAATACAAATAAATTCTTTAATACTACTACAAACACTACTAGTGGTACCAATGCTACTACTGTTCAAAATGAAAATGATGTTAAAGGCATTATTCAAAGGGTAATTATTATATATTTCATAAACTTTGGCATATTACATAATCTCTATTACGTCATATGATACTTTCTATAATGTCATATGTGAGAAGTATATCAGCTTTTTGTAGGCTTTTTACTCAAACAATATTAGTCAGTCGAGTTAAAGCTTATTGCGAATAATCAATAGAATTATCAAGTTTAAGTGGTATTTCGTAGAGATATACATTTTTATAGCTCATAGTGTTATATCGAATGAGTGCGTACTTGCCCTGTTTATTAGATGACGTGATTCCCGCCAATCGGGGAGGAGTGAATTATCGATCAGAGCAATGATACACAAAAAACCGTTCGAGCAGTCTAGAGTACTATCGGTCTTTCTTCTGCCTAGCCTAGCCAGTTAAGTCCAGAACACCAATAACGGCCTCTGCAACATGAATCATTATTCTCAAACATACTGGGTTTATGTACCAATCAAACAGACTCCATCGTACCATAAAATAGAAAATAACATTTGTGCAAGATTTAGCCAAATGTGGCTATGAATAGGGGGAACAGTAATCAATAGACTGGGAATAACTCAAGAATGGTAAATCGCAGAGTAATGGTCTATAGGTCAAAATAAAGCTTATAATAAGAGGAACATGGATATGAATAGTTAAGTTATTTAGTTATTATACAACAGGAAATATACATATCACATTGGTCCATAAATAGTTCTCAAAGGTACCATTCATAAATCGCTTCGGGATATAAAACATAGAAATGATAATTCATTTTAATAAATACCTTTAAAATCCAGTGTTTTTTAAGACCAACCATATTGGTTAACAAATTTGTAGAACAGTGTCAAGTTTATACAGTATGATCGGTTTTAAAAAACCTTCTCCAACCCTATTTGACCTTAACTCGGTGTAAACTGGTACTATTGATCTCCAAAGATGTATCTTTATATTTCAATAAGCCAAACTAATGTGCTTATTATTATCATCAGAGAATATTTATTTATTTATTTAAACACATAAATATTGGTACAAACGGGCACCGAATACATATGCGCCACACAAATCTCATTTGATCTGTGTTATGGCTGTGATACTACCCAGGTGCCCAAACTGAAACAAGTGGTTTTCTTAGGGGGCCACACCCGGAGCCTTTGATATAAAGATCTGATCTACAAGGCAATGGAGCATCGTGAGTAGATGCAGTTCAATGGTAGCCGGTGACCAACGATTGATTCATACGCCATTTGTTCCCTCAGGATACTGGAGCCAGCCCATGTACACCATTGGTACACAATATAGTTCAATATTGAATACAGAAAGCATGTATTTGATAAATACAAAACCAAACATCACAACTGTACATCAATCAACATGCTAGTCTCTTCTTTATTCTTTCCGTTTATTTGAGATCTTTTCTTCTTAACGGAACACATGATTGTACATATAATGTTAAATAAATCACTGATGGATAAACACTTTTAAAGGGTGTGAAAAGAAAATTGAGTTAAGTTAAATTAGAGGGGAAAAATGGGGAAAAAAATTTTTCACGAATTTTTGTAAATAAAAAGTACCCTCATTATTATTATTATTAAAATGGGAAATGTGTCAATTACTTTGATGTAAATAGTCTTTTGGATTCTGTATTTCACCTCAAACTTTTATCCTACAAAATAGGTCACTGAATGTAATTAAAACCTTTTTTTAAATTTATCTAAATAATATTGAAGTGGTTTCTTTGAATAGTTTTTTTCCTGGCTAACGATATTTATCAAAGGTTTTTATGTTTTACGGAATAAGATTGCTAACTCCCAAGCCCAGTCTTTCTTTAACAACAGTCGAACAAGAAAGAAGAAAGACAAGGCAGAAATTGAATATATAGAAGCAAATAAGGAAGTGAAGAGGAGCATTAGATCTGAGAAATGGAAATACGTGAAAAACCTAGTAGTGGCAGCAGAAAAGGCTGTAAGAGAGCGGAATCTGCAACAACTACATGACACAACGAAGAAACTAGCAAAGGAATATAGTAAACCAGAGAGACCAAACAAGGACAAAAACGGCAAGACAATCACTGAGATTCAAGAACAGAGGAAACGATGGGTAGAATAATTTGAGAGACTCTTGAGTAGGCCAGCTCCATTGGATCCATGGGACATCGAAGCAGCACACACAAACCTTCCCATAGATTTCACTCCACCAACGATCAAAGAAATCGAGGTGGCCATTAGAATCATGAAGAATGGGAAAGCGGCAGGATTTGACAATATACCAGCTGAAGTACTGAAGTCAGACATTGAAGTAACTGCAATCAAGTCTCACCTCCTATGTAAGAATATTTGGGAGGAAGAACAAGTTCTTAAGAGACTGAAAAGAAGGATTCTTCATCAAGATATCAAAGAATAAAAATCTAAGCAAATATGAGAACCACAGAGGAATCACACTTCTGTCAGTACCAGGAAAGGTTTTCAACGCAGTGTTGTTGAACCGGACGAAAGATTCAGTGGACGCTCAACTTCGAGATCAATAGGCTGGATTCCATAAGGATCAGTCGTGCACAAACCAAATCATGACACTACGGATCATCGTTAAACAATCAGATGAGTAGAACTCGTCACTAAACATCAACTTCATTGACTATGGGAAAGCGTTTAATAGTGTGGTCAAGAGGACCTTATGGGAACTTCCTCGACATTATGAAGTACCTGAGAAAATCGTCATTATCGTACGGAATTTATATGATGGACTACACTGCAATGTGATGCATGGCGGACGACTGACAGACGCATACTAAGTGAGGACTGGAGTTAGACAAGGCTGTTTACTCTCCTCCTTTTTCCTTGTTTGGGTGGTAGACTGGAGGATTATGAAGACCTAGACATCTGAGGAGAAACATGGAGTACAATGGACAGTTTGGATGCAACTAGACGATATGGACTTCGCAGATGATCTGGCCCTTCTATCCCATACACATCAACAAATCCAAGTCAAGACAAACAGTGTAGCAGCAGCCTCTGCATCAGTAGGCCTCAACATACACAAGGGAAAAAGCAAGATCCTCAAGTACAACACAGATAACAGCAACCCAATCACACTTGATGCAGAAACTCTGGAAGAGTTGGAAAGTTTCACTTATCTGGATAACATCATCGATGAACAGAGAGAATCTTATGCTGATGTAAAGGCGAGGATTGGCAAAGCAGGGTCAGCATTCCTACGATTGAAGAACATATGGAACTCAAAACAACTGTCAACTAATTTCAAAGTGAGAATCTTTAATACGAACGTCAAGACAGTCTTACTGTACGGAGCTGAAACGTGGTGAACTACCACAACAATCATCAAAAATGTACAAGTATTTGTAAGCAATTGTCTACGTAAGCTACTGAATGTCCGTTGACCGGATACCATTAGCAATAGCCTTCTGTGGGAGAGGACAAGCCAGCTTCCAGCCGAAGAGGAAATTAGGAAAGGACGTTGGAAGTGGATAGGATATACAGTAAGGAAATCACTAGACTACATCACGAGGAAAGCTTTAAATTGGAATTCAGAAGGGAAAATGAAAAGAGGAAGACCAAATCACTCACTAATTTGGGAATTGGAAGGGAAAATGAAAGGGATGAATAACAACTGGAAAGGATCTCTGAGGACAGAGTTAGATGGAGAATGCTGGTGAACAGCTTATGCTCCTCAATGAAGGGTAACTGGCGTAAATAATAACTTCATGAATTAATGTCATATTATTGTTATTCCTAACTGTATATGTCATGTTGCTTAAAAAATCAGATATTTTAGGTTGTGTGAGTTCCCGTATGGTCGGAGCGTAATGACAGGAAAGTAGTTATATGATCTCTCTCCCTCTGTCTCATGTCTGATTATCGATTAGTTCACCTATATTACGAACAAAACCGGTGACTTTCTATTTATCAATTTTACACGGTTAATGTATGATAAATCTGGAACCATAAGGCATATGACAACGATTTATAGGCCAAATGAAAGCTTAGAAATTGGAGAATATAAAATTGCAACCATATACACACTAGTTATATTCCTGCACTATTCATTCGATTATATAAATATACTTACATCATTTTATATTTTTTCCAGATAAATACTTAATCTCTTTTTATCCTTTATTTTATTCAGCCTACAAGTCGTTTCCTTCATCAGTCAACACAATTAGTTAATACAAGTAGTAATTCAAGCTCTACACCTACATATTCATGGAATCCTTCACAGATCACATCAAATAGTAATAATGTTACCACTGGTATTTTGAATAGTGCTCGTGGTATTTCAACTAATAATCATAACAACAGTAATAATAACAGTACTAATAGTACAGATTATTCTTCGCCAACTCCTACTCCTCGTGATCACGTTTCACAATGGCAAGATGTAAGTTATATGAACTAGTTTGTTCTTTTTGGTTTTCTCTTCACTATTGTCGTTGCCAGTATGATAGATTTGTTTTGTTTTTCCATATATATGTGTTGGTTGGATGGATTTTCACTGGTCATATTGTTTGCCAATGTGAGTAATTGTGGTAATATACTGTATGTGTTTGTGCTTCGAGTGAGACTATATTTTATGGATCACCCTTTTGGAACAATACTAACGTGACCTTGAGAAGCTTCAGCCACTTACTGTGTTTAAAAGAGTGTTATAAATCGATGTGAGGAATATTAGTACTAAAAGTTAGAGTCAGTGTTATCAACGCGATTGACACCGGCTACCATGTCAAAATGTAATTAAGCCATATTGATTAGTGTATTTTGCGCCGAAATTCAGGAGTCTCAATCTTAAATCTGATTGGTTCACTCATAGATTATAGTCCTGACATTAAATCAAACAGCTTTTGACAAATGGTAAAATATCATAGAGTTGAGTACTTCAGCCTTAAGCTTTCTTTAATTAGTTAGGGCAATTTTATAGTACGATATGTAATATTGATCGCAATGTCAAATACATGAAATATTTACTTGTTAGAAGCAGTTGCAAATAGTATTATTATCGTGACATGACAAAGCTGTGTAATCTCATGATTTTGTGTTTACGGTAGTCGATAGCTTTTATACATTAGATTGAAGGTTTCAGCTTCATCGTACCTTATTTGGATATAAATGTCTTAGACTATAAAGCTGAATGACGCCAGTTTGGATCATTCAGGAAGCCTTACACTCCTCAACTTTATAGATAGTTCATACCGAAGGATGCAACAAAGTTTCCTTCCTGTCGGCTGTCTTAAACCATTTGACATTTTACCGAAATGCAAGGGCTGTTAGGTCATTCATACAAATTGAGACAGTGCAACTTCATCGATAGAATCCTATCAGTATCAAAAGAACTAGAAAAAATGAAATTGGTCATTACTACTCAGTCATATAGAAAGTCAGTCGTGAACCGGATATTTCAGACTTTGAAGCTGAGTGATGCAGGTTTAAATCCTACATCGGCATCAGTTCCTGCAATAATTTCAGGTACGCTTAATTGATTTTGTGTGCCAAATATTATGGAACATAGACTCGTGGCTTTCTGTCGACTATCAATGTCAGCCTGATTTAGATAGATAAAAGCATGTTCTGTATAGGATTGTGTTGGCGCACGCTGGTTGGCTATTTCTTAACCAAGCAGAGCTAGCGAGTACTTGGGGGAGACTCTAGAATCTTATACAAAAATTATAAGTATATCAACGTCTTTCTTATTGCAATTCCTACTTCCATCCACCCTTGTTATTTGAAATATAATTACATTCTTGTTCAACCGTGTTTTGATTGGAGAACTTGTCGAGTAAAGTAGTATTCAAGATTACTAAGCAATAGGAATAGCTGGGTCGTAATATGAGTAGTCATAACAACCAATAACCCAGCATCGCTTATTGGATAGGTTAATTACACCTGACTGATTACCATTAGTCATGTGATGATGTAAACATCACATCCCACTTGTCAACTCATCATTACAATGTAATAGATGTGTATTTAAGGATTTAAGTTATGTGACTATTATGTTGATTTGACTAATATTATTCGGCTGTGGAAACAAATCACTTGCTTTAAATTTTATTATTATTATTTAAACACATAAATATTGGTACAAAGGGGCACCGAATACATATGCGCCGCACAAATCTCATTTGATCTGTGTTGGGGCTGCGATACTACCCAGGTGCCCAAACTGAAACAAGTGGTTTTCTTAGGGGGCCACACCCGGAGCCTTTGATATAAAGATCTGATCTACAAGGCAGTGGAGCATCGTGAGTAGATGCAGTCCAATGGTAGCCGGTGACCAACGATTGATTCATACGCCATTTGATCCCTCAGGATACTGGAGCCAGCCCATGTACACCATTGGTTTGGAATCAGGATTTTCCAACTCCCCTAGGTGAACTTTCCATGTCCACCAACCCGGTTAAAGCGCCGGACATTCTCTTTTCGTCCTCTCACTTTCGTAAACAACATTAATGCCACAAGAAGGCAGTGAGTAGGACTTCCCTGGCAGAGACTATATATCCGCTGGCCATATGAGAGGGAGAGGTGACTCTCCCCACTCTCTGCCGTACCAGGGCATTTGGGGGCGTGAAGAGGAACTAAATAAAATGGTTGTTAGGGTTAACATTCCCCCATCCCGCTCATTATTGATTTTAAAGACTTCAACTGTTCAGTTTATATTGATTGATTTATGTGCATCCTAAATAGATCGCTTCTACGCTCACGTTTTTGAATACTGGCTAACATTAAAATTAAAGACTCGTATTTCATCCTGTTTGAGACTCGTGTCTAATAAATATATAGACTCAGTAGTTTAGTGTTCGGCATGTAATTGAACTGTAATCGCAGTATGCACATCAGCATTGGGATACAGGGATAACCAGGTGATGAGTGCCATATAGGACGAAATGTGTTGTAAGACCATCTACGTTGATGATCTATGTCGAAATGATTGGGGGCCTACTATAGTTAGACGAGAATGGGGACGAACCAACTAACGCTGAAGTCACACCTCGCGACCAGCCCTTACGTGGATTGAACCATCGACGCATCAAAGGATAATGGATGCTATGGAGACTGTACAACACAAAGGACGTTATTACAAGAATATATTAGTTAAGGTACAACTATGGAAGTACAGAAGTGAAAGAATAACCACTGCAGCGTGGGCCAGTCCATGGCGTACGATTGTTTGATGCGCGTTGACTATCCTTGACCTTGACAGGGATCAATGATCTGTTCGATATTCAGTTACCCTACAGTGTTTTCTGGATTCCACTGAATTTTTAAGATTGGTAACAGAATTCTAACCATTACCACTATCCATCTCTGCTAACCATGCTTGTGAATTAAGGTATATCGAGGCAATACGCACAGTATGCACATATGCCAATTAGAGACTGACCAGTTGCAGTCCTAACAAATCGATGGGAAGATTCAAACAAACAATACTAAGTTGAATTTAAACTTCACCCCATCGCACAAGCAAGTGGCTATCAGGACTCAGTGGCCGAGTGGATAACGCGATGGCGTTTGAAGCGAGGGTACTGGGTTCGAGTCCCAGAGTGAACATCAACTCTGAGATTCAGGTACATCCAGCTGACGAGTCCCAAATAGGACGAAACGCGCGTCCTGGATTCCACTGCTAGCCACTATCCATCTCTGCTAACCATGCTTGTGAATTAAGGTATATCGAGGCAATACGCACAGTATGCACATATGCCAATTAGAGACTGACCAGTTGCAGTCCTAACAAATCGATGGGAAGATTCAAACAAACAATACTAAGTTGAACATTACCTCAATGGCTACAAAATTTGCTATTTGTGACAATGATCTGTTTATGCCCTGCTAAGTGAATAAATATTGTTTGTAATTACAAACTAACTACATGTATATCTACTTCATTTATTCCTCTCCGATTATCACAGTTTCACTCACTATTTATACGAAACACTTCATTATGTCTTACGTCATTACTAATCGGTTACTATTACGTAATAGTTATTGTACGTGTGGCGTAATTTGGTAATGTGTGTATGTGTTTACATACACCCACATACAATATTCATTTTTACATAAGATATTAACGTCTAATATGTTAGTGTACTACTGATGATGACAATGATGTGTAGTTAAATTGTACCTTTTCATTGATTAACAGTTATACCTAACTAATGTCTTCTGTTCATGTACATTTATGGGATACATCTTGTGTAGACTATGGAAATGTTGATGATGACCGGATATTGTTGTTGTGTTCTTTACTTTATTAGTGTGACATCGATCTACTGATAAATATTCTATTTTTATATGCTAAAATACAACTTCTTATTTAGAACAACATATATAAGCGAACAATATTGTTTTCGATTAGATCCTCATCAGGCTTTACTCTAATATACAATAATATTTATATGCATATACGAAATTATTAAACCAATCAAGGCAGTTTATGAGTCAATGATAACGGTGAAATAGATTACATAATCAAAATTAATAATAAGTAGAAAGTACAAATTGATAGTGTAATGTGACAGGTGTACTAGTTGTGATATGAATAATAAAAAGCTTGAATCAATGTTACATAATAGGAAAATAGGTCAATGATTAGAATAAAGAATATAGACACTGAAATAACATTCCTAGAAATTATAAGATTACGTAATGAGAAATGTTCAGATAATTGGACGGTGAAGCGAATATTAGAAAAATTATAAGTAAATAATTGATAGGGGGGTGAAGAAAAATAAACGAAGAAAGAGTATGGAAAATAAAATTATTTATTAAGGCCAAGGAGGGATAAGGGTGTTACAAATTTCTTATGAACACAAAGACTTGGGTTGTTGGATCGAATTCCTATAGCTTCTGCTATGTATAGGAGACGAGATCGAACCCCATAAGGTAATGGAGCATCGTGAGGAGATGTAGTCCCATGGTAGCCGGTGACCAACAATAGGTTCATACGCCATTTGTTCCCTCAGGATACTGGAGCCCACGTACACCATTGGTTTGGAATCAGTGTTTTCTAACTCCCCTAGATTTACTCTCAGTATCCACCAACCCGGTTTGAGTGCCGAATATTCGCTTTTCGTCCTCTCAATTTCGTAAACAACGACCTGCCACGAGAAGTCAGTGAGTAAGATTTCCCTGGTAGAAGCTATATAGACGTCGCCATTTGAGAGCATTTCGAGAGGTAGAGTGGACTCTCCCCACTCTCGGTCGTACCAGGGCATTTGGGGGCAAAACCAGTCCATACCTAATGTTGAATTACATCTTACTTTCACCATCACACATCAAACAGTGACTATTCCTCCTCCGAATAATCAAATCAATGTAGATCTGTATATTTACAGTTTAAGTTGAAAGTAGGTTTTCTTTAAATACTTCTGAAATACCACCATTTCATTTCTAGTTATACTAAATGATTTAAATATTATTAGCTTGACTGTATTGACTTGTATCTCGGCTGTAAAATTGCGTATTCGTCTTTGGAATCGAGTATGTTAGTATTAATCAGTTCAGTTAACTGTGACTCATTCCACAACCTCAATAGATTATGTGTAACATGGTCATGATTGTTTTTTGATGTTTAGTTTAATGTTATATATATGGTCTCCATATTTCTTTTTGGCTCAACTGTTTATTCTTTTTGTTTCTGTCTTTCTTGTATTCACGTGCTTATTCCACCACTTACATCTTCAATCCTCTTGTTGCTGTCATCACCATTGTCATCCTCTTCATTCAAATAATATCTAGTCCAAAGATTATAAACGATTATATGAACGAGAGAAAGAGGAAAGAGAACGACTTCAACGTGAATTAGATAGATGTAATCGTCAAATCAGCCAATTACGCCAAGAGCAACAATTGAGAAGTTCAAATGATCATAGTTATTCAAATGCTCCAGATACACATAATATTTACAATTATACTAGTAGTAATAATTGTAATAATTCACAAATACCGGACACTGTAAGTATTATGTGTCGTTTCGATTTTAAAATGAAAGAATGATTAACTGTTTTTGAAACCACGTTGTATATAACAGTTGGATTGAATATTTTATTTAAGAAATAATGACACATTAATTAATTTCGTGAAAAAATATTATTGTGTAATAGTTGAATTCATAAGTCCATTGAAGCTAGACCACTACGGAAAACCTGGAAGCACTGGACGGCCATTTCGTTCTAGTATGGGACTCCTCAGCAATGCTCATCAACGATCCCTCTCGCGGGATTCCAGAGGTATTTTTTGGATTTCTAGTTTATTTCAACCAGGTCTGTTTTTAGTTAGTAACTCACTGAAAACAATGGTGGACGGTGATGTTATGTCGGGAATTGGTTGAAGTTAGACACTAACACCATTGGATGTCAACTCAGTGGTTTACAGGTTAAGCGTTCGCGCGCGATATCCTTGTTACGAATCTTGCTAGCGGGATCGTTGATGCACACTGCTGAGGAGTCCCACAATAGGAAGAAATGGCCTTTCAGTGCTTCCAGGTTTTCCATGGTGGTCTAGCTTCAATTGACTTATGAACTCAATCATTAAATAACTAAGATTTCCGCAAGAACCCCCTTCTGAAAATATTATCATATTCACATAATTGTTGTAGAATCGGCTAAAATGAATTTATTTACTGTTAAAAACTAGTAGGAAGCGGATTCCCGTGAGAAAAAACTTTCGGTTTATCCATTTCTTATCCATTTAAATCAATGAAGGTCCTTAGTAAATTGTTTATTTATTTTTCAACAATGTCTAAATCATCAACGTTGAATTGAACAAAAAATCAAAAGCATAATTTATTCAATTTTTAAATAGTGTACTTTTTTTTCTTGTTGTTATTGAAAGTAACTAGGTAACTAGTACAAAACAACAAGGAAATTATCATTCGAAAGAAGCCAAAAAAAACTGAACTCATAATTTAGTTCTGGTCAATGTATTTGACAGTTATATTTAGAATTTATTTTAGATAGTGTCTAGTATGATTGTCACCTCCTAATTTGAAAAGCAATTTAATGTATACAGTAAATAATTCACTTTTTGTCGTGTTAAAATTATGTGCAAAATCAGGTAGATTATGGAATAGTAGAGAAGTTTTTTTTTTAAGCTCAGGTAAATGATTTTGGTAGAGTTGTGTTCTCTGAGCTGGATGGTTTAGTCGTACAGCTTTCATTGTTCTTCTAAATGACATCATCAGCACAAAATTGAGGTAGAATTTTTATCTGAGAACAAAACTCCACCAAAATTAGGTAGATTGGTAATGTGGATGTGTGTGTTTCATTTTTAAAGATATTTGCGCATCACCCAAACTTTTATTGTGAGGGTTAGTGATACTAATCGGTTGTCCAGACTAAAGAAGTAGATGGGGTGAGGCTCAAATACATAAAGGGAGATAATTTCTTTCTTTCCCTCTCTTTCTGGTCGAAGGTAATAGTTAGTGGTTGTCCCTATGTTTGATTGATAACATAAGCTACCAGGAGTAGCTATAGATAATCATTTTTCTTCTGATATCAGACAGTCTACGCAGAATGAGATCTAAGTCATCTAGCCCATGAATATGTAGGATGAAATCTGTGTGAACCATGGATTCATAGTTATTTTTTTTATACTTATTGTTTACTCTCCAGATTGGCATCACCAACTTGCTGTTATACACTAAGTTTTTAGGTTATCCCTGTCTCCCTGGGTTATTCCTTCTGTTTCTTTTTTTTTATCTAATAATCTTACCATGTGAATGATAGTAGTAAGTGCATTCAAATGGCAACTCTTTTCTTGATCGAAATCCGTTTTGCACTATTTTAATTTTGGCTGTTAATTAGTACTATTTCCATCCTCTTATTCGTATATGTAGTGTATCTCATAACCAAATATACGGGCATTTTCTCTATTCAATTCCTCATACTATGCAGTCATTAATTAAACCTCTTAATGATATGTAGTCTGTATTTGTTATGACTTTTGGCCTCTTATTTATCACGTGACCAAATCGCCCAATTAGAACTCGGACATATGACCGTGGTACTGTCCCAAGCTAATGACGCATTAACCAGTATGAACAGCCTGGAGTGTTTCTATCGGTTCTTCTTGCATCGCCCTGTCTGTTTGAGTCCAGAACACAATCTTGGCTTCCACTGTATGAATAATGTATTTCAGACGTATTTAGTTTACATACAAGCAAATCAGACCGAATCATACCATAAAATAAGAAATAACAGTTATACAAATTCAAGTCAAAAAGTGGCTATGATTTTGAGAGACTGTAACTAATAGATTGCGAATAACTTGAGAATAGCAAATCGTATAATACTAGCCAATAGGTCTATTGAATGCTAATAATTATATATATATATATATATATATATATATATATATATAGTTCCTTCAAGTTACCCATAATGTAATCTTCGTTAGAATATAACAGTATTCATCACAGTTGGATCTCAGTCAACATATCACTGAAAATTGTGAATCACTAGACAACTCTTTTGTCCTAGTATGGGACTCTTTGGCGATCTGGCCACAATCTCACCAGAAATTGAATCTGGTACATCTATCAGGCCTTGCTACCCATATCTAACCATTACACAACCATTGATTTGATATCCAGAAGTACGGTTCCAAATTCAATCAATTTATAATATATCACAATGATTATTCATTGACATTATTGATAATTGTTTCACTTTTAATATATCTTAGATCTATCAGTGATAATTTCTCCTTACAACTTCATCATAGATGTTGCACTGTTAAAGAGTTTCATCCAGGGATAAAAACAAGTATCTAATATTTCCCCTAGTTTTGAATAATGCTACAATCAAAATGAATACTGCCTACAATTTGAAATAATCTTCACAAAATCCTTTTATAATTATAATTATATTAGAAAAATACCATTATTCTTTTTGATTCAAGTACTCTCAATTGGAACTATATATGTGTATATAAAGTTTTGCTTAAATCAATCATTTTCTTATTATATTTAATAGCCCATGCAAGGTTTAATAGGTTTGTTTTTTATTCATAGTTATATTAAACAGATTCCATAAATTCACATTATATATAAGCATATTAAAATGATCACTATATATTTATAGTTACCATGTGGATATGTATACATATATACATATTAGATGAGTGGCATATAAGATTTTTTTCTGTTGTTTGTCTTTATTTATTACTATCATCATCATCATCTTATGAGAATCATTTGATTCCTTTTTCATCCATTCGACCTTTTAATTGTCGAAACTAGTTAATTAGTTTGCATGTTGAATGAATAAAAGTATTTTCATTGTTGAATATTTGTGAATAGTTTATTGACATTATCTTTTTCATTCATAAATAATTGTTATCTTGTTTTCTTGTATATTTCTTTCATTAAAAATAAATATGTATTGCAAAGTTTTAAAAGAGTTAATGTCTTGGAGATCATTGTTGATCTCTAAAGGCTTTTTCATTGCACACTAGTTGGCTCCCCTCCCCCGCCATTAGTTTATTAGAACTTTAATAGTGCTATATACACAAGCCAACTCGGAATCGAACACCGATTACCACAATGCGCTATGCTGATTAGTATTGCGAATGGTTAGAAGAGAGTGAGGGGCGGCCAAACCAAAATGTGGCATCAGTGCTTGAGGACACTAAAATCTAGTCTAAGCTAGGTTCGTAGATGCAGACTACTTGGTTGGTGTCCGTGTGACTATCGTAAGTAATAGATGGAGACTAGGCGACATGACTCAGAATCGATCACAATGGTGCAGGTGTATGCACTCTCTGTTTTCTCTTAAACTGTGAGATTAAAATTGCTTCGTAGCGTTCTTCCTTCCTATATTGTATCGTTATATACAACCTTTCTTTTATATATTAGCACCACTAAATTAACTACTTCTATCAATCCGGTATTCATCTTTTTGTGCTAACGATGTATGGCATTTTGGACCGATGCATATATGTACCTGGTCCTACGTTGTAGCTGACTGACTCGGGGTCGAACTTGGAGCAATCATTGCTGATATAATGTAACATTATATCTTTTGATCATTGAGTAGTAGTTTCACAGTCTTTATCCATTTGTCAATACAGTATGATCTTCAGTCAATGTTGCATTATCCACTACTTACTATCTTCCATTCCGAACTTGTTGAACTCCATTGATCCATCAGTCTTTAACGAGAATTCTATGTAAACTGACACACTGATTAGTCTAATTATGTTCACTGTATAGTAAGTTATTGTGAGATTTGGTTCTAGTGTTTCCTCGACTTTTTGAAAATAACTCTTAAATAAAGTAGGTGTAATCAAGTCTACTAAAATAAAACCATTTTTTAAAGAAATAAATCAATCATTTTATGTATTGCAAGATTGTGAACATTTTTTTCTATGATTTTCTGAAGTTTTTATGCAATTAGTATCTGACGTCATTAAAAACTGGTGATAAACCCTTGTTAACCTTCGTATTTTGATTATTATGTCTTCTGTACACTTGCCTTCTATTGTTGAAGCATTTAAATTTGACTAAGCTTATCCATATTTTTTCCTGTTTCCAATATCGTCCAGTATTTTCAGGCACTTTTTCGTCCATTTAGTAAATGAGTGCTTCTTATCTATTATGTGTTATCTACTAGAGATTTCATTTCAATGCTTTTGAGTTATCTATACAGATCTTCTATGAACAAATCAAAGTAAAATGCATCTGCACTAATATCCAATTCTGAAACATGTCGCTATGCGCATCCATCTACTAATCACACTACCCCTAACTAAGGGATCGTCTAGCAATAAGAAGAAAAACACATTGACCTACTCGTAAAAGATGGATTTTTCACTTTAATTACAGTAAATTATTTCAAATTAGAAAAGATTTTATTCTTTAGTAGTTCATTGAAATAATAATTCTATGACATTATTGGACAAGAATACTTTTTTCATAGTTGAAATCATGAGTCAATTGAATCTAGACCACCATA